GTGTGCCCGGCGCTCGGTTGCCCGAGTCGTTCCCTCCACTCCCCTATGATGACCTGGCGGAGTTGGGATTTCCGGTCATCGATTTCTCGAATCTCGGGGCATCGACCCAACTCCTGCGCCTCCTTGCGCCACTGATACAGAGCCGCAAGGGCTCTCGCCTCCAGGTCCCACGGTGGAGTTCCGGCCAGGAGACTCGCCGCCTCAAAGGGGATCGTGCGGTACCCCCTTATGATCCTGATGGCCAGCATTCGCTGCGGTCGCGACGTTGCTGGCCTTCAGGGCCCCCGCCCATACTGGGCACCCGTAAAGGGCCATGGACCGCACAACCCCCGAGTAGAGTCTCCTGCAGGAGTCATCGGGTCCCTTCATGTTGGGCAGCAGCCGCGCCAACGCACGCGCTGCCCCAACCAACTTGGGGGACCAGACCTCGGAAATGATATCCGAAGTCCCATCGGCCATCGAGTACGAGCCCCAGATACCTGATCGAGGGCTCGATGCCGATGCGAGTGCCTCCTACCGTGAGGCTAGATCCCTCAGGCGGCTTCCTCCGAAGCCCGTGGAAGAACAGGGCCTCGGACTTGTGCAGAGCCACCTCGAGACCCAGCCGCCGGATACGCCCAACTCCTGCGCCTCCTTGCGCCACTGATACAGTGCCGCAAGGGCTCTCGCCTCCAGGTCCCACGGTGGAGTTCCGGCCAGGAGACTCGCCGCCTCAAAGGAGATCGTGCGGTACCCCCTTATGATCCTGATGGCCAGCATTCGCTGCGGTCGCGACGTTGCTGGCCTTCAGGGCCCCCGCCCATACTGGGCACCCGGAAAGGGCCATGGACCGCACAACCCCCGAGTAGAGTCTCCTGCAGGAGTCATCGGGTCCCTTCATGTTGGGCAGCAGCCGCGCCAACGCACGCGCTGCCCCAACCAACTTGGGGACCAGACCTCGGAAATGATATCCGAAGTCCCATCGGCCATCGAGTACGAGCCCCAGATACCTGATCGAGGGCTCGATGCCGATGCGAGTGCCTCCTACCGTGAGGCTAGATCCCTCAGGCGGCTTCCTCCGAAGCCCGTGGAAGAACAGGGCCTCGGACTTGTGCAGAGCCACCTCGAGACCCAGCCGCCGGATACGCTCAACAACTTGGGCAACCCCGGCCGTGGCCCTCGTGGTGCGTCTTGCCGCGCGCCGTCACGAATGTGTCGTCCGCGTAGCACACGACGGCGACACCATCCAAGAAGGCACCACGAAGCACCCAGTCGTAGCCGATGTTCCACAAGAGTGGCCCTAACACCGACCCCTGCGGAACACCGCACGACATTTCACGCCTACCGAGACCGGTCCTACTGGGGTAGACGACGGCTCTCTCCGACAAATATGCCCCGACTATGCGGCGGAGGTAGAGAGGCACTTCGTGATACACGAGCGCCTCCCTGATGCAGCTCCAGGGCATAGTGTTGAACGCGTTGGCGATGTCCAAGGACACCGCCAACACCACTTCGCCCCGGGAGACTGCTTCCTCCGCCAGAGCCTTCACGCGCATGATCGCATCCACGGTGGAGCGCCCCTGACGGAAACCGTACTGGTTGTCCGCCAGATCCGGCCCAACCATCACGAGATGCTTGACGAGGCGCCTTGCAATCACTCTTTCAAAGAGCTTGCACACCTCGTCAAGCAACACTATGGGCCGGTAGGCGGACGGTGAGTCCGCCGGGCGCCCCTCCTTTCGGATGAGGACCAGTTTCCCCGTCCTCCACAATTTCGGAAATTGGCCCCGCTCGAGGCATGCGCTGAAGAACCCTCGCAGTCGGGGCTCGAGAGCCTCGTCGACTAAGGCCAGGACCCACGCTCGGCCAGGAATGCCATCGGGTCCCGGGGCCTTACCTAAAGCAAGTTTCTTGTTGTATTTCACAGAAGGAGTCAGTTTATCTGAACCTTCCCCCGCCCCCCACTAACTCATTAGAGGAAAGGGGGGGGGGGGGGGTTAACTCAACGGACGGCAACGAACGTCTCTTGAGTTGGGTAGGTAAATATTTATCAGGAAATAATAACTTTAATTTGTATAATATTATGCACATTATCAAAAGAAACATTTGGGTATATTGCAAATGCAAAACAAGAAAAGGTAAGTAAGTATAGGGGGTAATGGGAGTCATTTAAGCAAGAATAAATATAAATCACAAAACATGTATTTAAACACTATGAAAATCAACTCATATCTATGGTTTAATTATTGTATTGTCAGCCTTAGATGGTTTTTTTTTTTACCTTTGGAATAACATTATTAATAGCTATTAAACTTGAAAAAAAAAGCTATGACCACCATTGTTTTAAAACTTATCCGAAACCATTATCCTATTCAGTTCTGCAGCTGTAAACATTTATCAGACTTAAGAAAGGCAACATTCTTATTAAATGGGAAGAGACAAACCATAATTTCCTGTAACCTATCTGCTTATAGTCCAATATGGATGATCGCAGATTTTTCTAGAAGATAAAACAAATATGTACTATATGTATATAAAAGCATCCCGTAAGTATATTCTAAGAACAAGCTGGTACCCACGACTTCCTTCGCATGGAATTGGAAAAGTGCTGCATTAATAGTTCGAGTCCCGGACCGCGCGAATTTTTATAGTTTTTTAAATAAAATATAAAATATGAAAAATAACCTAAGGTACTCCTTATCTAGACAGCTAGCCGGTAGTAAAATATTATCAAAATCCGTCAAGCCGTTTTGAACATTACCCGGAACAAACAGACCGACAGATAGACAAAAATATTTAAACTGGTTTTTAGGCATAGGTATAACCGTGCGAGCATTAAAGAAACCTATTATCTTGACATTACAAACAGACACTTCAATTGTATTTATTTGTATATATATATTTAAATTTGTATATATTGTAAAGATATATTTAAATTTGTATACATATATTTTTTTATCATAAAATGTTTATTCAGTAATAAAATGAAATCAAATAAAACTGGCGATAGACAAATAATAGCGATTTAAACGCACCACTTGTGTTAAACAATAGATTGTATTAGCGCCAAAACCAGGGCGCGTTCGCGCCACTTGACCATCTGTGAATTTTTTACCAAGGAGGTAGATTTTTAAAGTTTGTTTGGAACGTCAGCGTGTAATTTTTTATTGATTATTTTTTACTGATGACTATTTAATAATATTGTAATATAAAGTATATTATTAGTGTATTTTATTACAAATTGTTACCTCATTTTAGTACAGCCTTTAAGCTGTTTATTCATAAGTACTGTTGTAAATAAATGCTTAGGACACCTTTTATATTATATTTTAGTTTATCTATTTTAATCTGACATTAGAAAAATGAAAAATTACAGGGACCCGGGTAACTCGTAAACTCATATAAATTCGCGAATATTTAGAACAACTATCGTTTTCTAGAAGTCGACACTCCTGAAAAGGAGATATAGAAATTTTAATAAAAATGCCCAGTAATAGCTTGAAAAATCTTATACCTACATGTTCATCCGTTCGAAATCGTAATCAGATTACTGATAGGTAAACATAACTTTATATTTCTAAATACCTTTATATCGTATATAAATTACTCATAGACAAACTACAAATGATAAAGTTCATCACACAATTATTTGTAAAGGGTGGGAATCGAACCCACCATCTCTGGCTCAGTAGTCATAATCACTAACCATCAGACCAACTAGCCCGGTAGGCTAGTTGGTCTGATGGGGATATGAAATACCTACCGCTAGCAGATCAAATAACATACTACATGATTTACAAAAGTATTACACAAACGAAAGTGACTGTAAACAATATTAGGTAGGTGACACAATTACAAAATACTAAACTTAAAACTTCTTATTTTCACGAAAGGAACCGAATCGACTAACATATAAAACTGGAATGAGTTTCCAAATTGAATCGTATTTTTCGTAACTGCCATCAATTAGAAGATTGTTGTTGTATCTCTTGAGTTGCGATTTGCAGGTCGCGATAGCCGACGCCAGTCATTAATCAGCAGGTGACTTGTCTCCTCGTTTGCCCCCATACCATAAAAAATGAATATTTTATTTAATATAAAAGAAGATGAATTTTCTGTTGGTAAGTTATTCCCTGTTTCTAAGTTATTAAATACTCATAATAAAGTCCGACAAATTAAACATTATTTAAAGTATAATGCATTTTATTGTCGGCACTTTACAGTGCGAGGAGGGTCCTTTTAGTTGGGGATAAAAACATTGCAATAAAGGGGCCCGATTTCGATTATAGCTTCTCAGGGGTGTCACTTCTAACCAGGACCGTGGTCAGTAAAAGTGTTATAAGTATATATATATATATGCGTATTAATACATTTGAGAAAAGATGAAGTTTGGTCGCTTTTCTAAAATGTTTAAAAGAATCATCTAAGTATTTACAATGTTTTTTAAAATAACTGAATAAACCATAATTTCATAAAAAAAAAAATCTGCTTAAAAAAAAAACGAAGGAAAAATTAAAGGGCCTATCGGGAAACTTATGCAACGTGAATAATGTTAATATAAGTTTGTAAATATTTTTTTATTAAGATCCGATTTTTCTGTTCTCTCATCAATATTATGGCCTATCTTCGTTTTTCGGTGCGTTTCTCCAACACCTGTTTATTTTTGTATCTACCTACAAAAAATGTATGCATATAAAATATAAATATAAAAGAGCGCATATAAAAGAGCGTAATTTATTTGTTCAGAAACAAGTCAAGTCACAAAGTTTACTTAATTTTTGACTTATTTTGTTACTTAGGTTTCTTACTTAGATTCACGATGTTACATGAAATAGGCGCTAAGAAGTTTTAAAACTGTTGGTATTACATCATCATTTTGACAGTGACATTGTCACTAAAGTTGAGGTTATGAACTTATGAAGTTAAATAGTGATTTTGTAAACTTAATTTATATAATTAAGACATAAACAATGTATAAATAATTAAAATTAACGTAGAAGAATAAGTGTAAATTTGTAAAAATGTGGCAGTTAATAAATTCGCATTCGTATATGCTTTTACGACAGCGGTGTGTGAAAGAATACTCAAGGATATATTTTCAACAATAAACGTTAGGTGTTGCTTTTTAAACGTACAAATCATTTTTTGCAGATTATCTACGAGCAAGAGGAATGTATATTTAACAAATATAATAAAAAATAATCCGTCTAATGTAGTTAAAAGGTATATATCTGTTGTCAAAACTTCAAAAGAAAATTGTACAAAGTCCGGCTTGTTACTGCTTTGTAGTCCTTGGAAATTGTGCACAGGTGTCAGCTTGGGACTTGGTGTTAAATATTTCATAAGTAATGGATCTGTATATTGTAAGGCGGCACCAAGTAGTAGAATAGTTCAGAGAAGAGTACAAACTGACAATGCTAAGTTTGACTGGCATAAGCTATTCTCTTATCTGGGACCTCACAAACTGTTATTGGTTGCTGCTGTTGCTGTAAGTATGCCTTATATTTATTTTTATTTCCTTTTTTTAGCCTAATAATCACATACTTTGCTCTAAACAATTATTTCAAGTTTGTTTTAATAAATACATTTTAAATATCTTACAATTCACTTTTTTTACATAATTGCCATTAAAAGCTGTTATTAGCAAAATGTCATAACACATTTTACAATTTTGAAACTATTTTTTTTTCATGCATGGCTCAAATATGTGTCACAATTACTACCAGGTATGCTAATAAATTAGATTAACAATTTTAAATGTATTTTTTTTTAATGGTAATCCCAATTAACACATTAACACATTTTTCACATATAAGTAATTGTGTGAGAGAATAATCTCCAACAGAATATATTTTGTAACAATCCCAAAAATTAAAGTAAAGATTACTATTGTTTAAATTTTTAAAGAAAATAAGCAGGTGTCAGATAGCTTGATAGGTGCCGAGAGACTAAATAATGTCAATGAGGTTTTCCAGTATTCCACAATAACTATTTAATCCATCTAAAAATCAAATGAAACAAGCATTACATAACGAAATATAACACAAATAACATAACTATACAAATGCAGATCCTTTCTGATAGTTTAGTTTCAAAACATCTTTTATATAATCAGTAACAGTCATATAATATTTCAGTATTGTCTAGTTTCTGGATTGGATAATTTTTGCAGAACATGGTGCAGTTCTACTCCTGAAGTACTTCTAATACATTCACCAGATTATTTTTTTAAAAGTGCTCCAAACATGATCCTTACATCTTTGCTTTTCTGTTAATATTTTATTTCTGTTAATACTTACATCATTGCTTTTTTTTCATATTTTCATTTCTTCTGTTACAGTCAGCGTTAACAGTGGCATTCCTAAATGTGTACATTCCAATGATGTTAGGGGTAATTGTGAATGTATTAGCGAATTTAAGACAAAATCCCGGTGCAGACTTTTTAGAAGAAATCAAATTGCCTGCTATTAAACTCTTATCATTGTACATTGGACAGGTATGACTATGATTATTTTAATATATTTTGTATGTATTGTATTATACTAGTGTTTAGTCCTTGTGGTGACGGATTAAGAATACGGAGTGTCACCACCCCTGTCCATCCCCTGGGTGTCGTAAAAGCCGACTAAGGGGACAAACTACGCAGGACAACAGCGGCAAAGACAAGGAAATTTGACACAAACCCTATATCAACCTGTCTGGCCAGCGTTATATAGTAGGCCTAAACCTCCTTTCTAAGGAGAGGCCTATATCCAGCAGTGGATTATTCAAGGCTGTTGATTGATGATACTAGGGTTTTATAATTTTTATTCTGTATGAACGAGAAGTAAACCTAATACTGTGTACTGGGCCTGTCTAGTTACCATAATAATGTCTATTTTTTTCAGGCAACATTCACATTCCTGTATATCCATTTATTGTCACAAGTAGGTGAGAGGGTTGCCACTCACATGAAACAGGATCTCTTTGAGTCCATACTGAGACAGGACATAGAATTTTTTGATCGAGAAAGGACTGGTGAACTAGTTAATAGGTATGGTCAGTAAGCCAAAAGTATTTAATTTTGAACTAGATGGTCTCAGATGCCCACAGATATTTGCTAAGTTTCTTTTTGTAAATATTAAATATGGAAGTCAGTTGAATTTTTCTTTAAACATACTATATGGTTTTTAGATTTAATTAACAAGCAATAAATCTTCAATTACAGGCTGACTGTTGATATCCAAGATTTCAAAAGTTCCTTCAAACAGACTATTTCTGGTGGACTTCGAGCAATAACGCAGGTAAATACTTATTTTTAAATACATTAATGAATTAAGTCCATGTGGTGGAGTCCAGGGATTAAGAATATTGAGTGTCACCACTCCTATTCATTCCGTGGGTGTCGTAAGAGACTACCAAGGGAGCAAACTATTTAGGACAATAGCACTGCAAAGAGAAGGAAAACTCAAAACAAACCTTATACCGATCTGTCTGGCCAACATGTTATAGTAGGCCAAAACCTGCTGTCTAGGGAGAGGCCTATTGTCCAGTCCCGTCCATTTGATGAAATACAGTACTGTAGATACACAAATTGTTAATTTAAGACAACTCCATTTATGGCCATACTAGCTTTTGCTTGTATATGTGTATTTTGCTATATATATTTGTAAAGCAAAATATACTAAGATGTGCTTGCTGCCGGACTGATTGCAAAGTTGGTAATGCTTATGATTTTTTCTTCTGTCAGTTGATGTACTTACAGCCTCTGAGCGATTTTAATAAATCTTTTTTTTTTTTGGCTTACCAACAGTTATAAACACTGATACAAAGACATTAGATACAGTCAATAGACTAATAGCCTATAGTGTAACAATTTCCTATAGGTAAGCACATCATGCACTACTGATTTGTTAACAATATACAAGGTGTAAGGCACATCGTACAGAATACTGAAATAGTTTATGATCATTCTGAGTCCAAAATCATTGAAATTTTCTGCCGGAAAATTAATCATTTTTTTTTTAATTTTCCATTTTTCTGGTTAAAAAGGATGAAAAATGAAATTACAATGAGTAGACAGAACGTCTTACCGAAAATAATTTAATAAATACTAAAAAACTGCAATGTAATTAATCAAACAGCTGAAGCGCGAGGGGCCTCTCCTCCGGCCGCCATTTGTGTTAGTGTGCGTTGACTGTTTGTACGGAATACACATGTAGTTAATATTGTTATGTTAATAGATTGCTCAAGGGTGATCCAACGTCCAGACAAACCTGTTAAGGTTTTGGGACATTTTACAGCTAACACCGTGATGTACTTTTTGTGTCAATAAATGAAAAAAAAAGTTATTACTTTTGTGCGATACCTACGGGGAATGACCTTAACCTTTGACAGCTGATTGCATTAAAAGAAAATTCCAATGATTTTCGACTCAGAGTGATGGTCTGAATACACTATTTCAGTATTCGTTACGACGTTTCTTACACCGTGTATAATACTTTAAATTACATTAGTCCTAGGACACTGAACACCTAATGATAGCTTTTATACAAGAAAAAATATTTTTACAAAGTAAAAATAAAAAAACAAAAAACACAAAAACACAAAAACACAAAAACACGGATGTTTTCACAAGACTTTGTAAATAGCACTTCTGAACCTACTAAGTGAGCTAGTGCTAATGCTAGAATTTTCTTGTGGAAATAAAAATTCTATACAGCTCCAGGCCTTCTCCATTAGGTACGGTTCAGTGGCTTAGTCTTAAGGCTAAGTCTAAAAGTAACACGCCACCAGGGTTGCCTTTATATTTAAGTTTAATAACGGCTATTTGATAAAAAAGACAATTTTTTTTTACATTTTCAGATCGTGGGTTCGGCTGTTAGTTTGCTTGTCATATCTCCACACTTAACGGGTCTGACACTCGTCTGTGTACCATCGGTCGTTATCGGAGGAACTTTTATTGGATCACTTCTTAGGAAGCTGTCCAGGGAGGCCCAGACACAGGTACATTTTTTATGTTTATTTCTTTGCGAGTTAGTAGGTCATCGTATATATTTTTAATGATTTAATGATTGATATCATGTACGTATTCATTGATTCAATAAAGAAATTATTAAAATATTTTTAAACATATCCTACAAAAGTAAGGAAGGAAAAAAAAAGTTTTATACTGTGTTAGGTTCTGTCTATAGGTCTTTTTTTATTTCATCATCATCACCATCAGCCTATCGCAGTACACTGCGGGACATAGGCCTCTCCCATTGCACGCCACTTCACTTTTTTTTATTTATTAGATACAATGTACACTCCACTTTGCTTTTCTATATTTAGTTAAAATGCATTTGTTATTTTTTCAAATAGATAGAAAAAGCCACACTGGTAGCAGAAGAGGCGATATCAAACATGCGCACGGTCCGCGCGTTTGCGGGCGAAAAGATGGAAGCGCAAATGTTCGCGGACGAGAGTAACGCAGCCGCTGAACTTAGTATGGAACTAGGATTAGGTATCGGACTATTTCAAGCTGGCACCAACTTATTTTTAAACGGGTCAGTGGTTTGTTTCTTTTTATTTTGAAAACTAGAAAAAATAAATACACAGGCAACTATCTCACTAGTTTTAAAATGCAAATGTTTGGACGGATGTTTGTTACTTGACCACGCTAAAACGGCTAATCAGATCTGGATAAAATTTGGACCAAATATATATTATAGTCTTGAATTATTTGAAAAAAATATTGTCAAAGTGGACATTAATGCATGCGAAACCGTGGAAAAGAGCTAGACAATAGAATGACTGTAAGTGATGAGCCTAATATGAGTTTATTTCACATCAACTCATTCTGGACTTGAGCGTGTTTGGCGTTGCGATTGGTGAAGATTTCAGTGCGGCCCAATCGCAACGCCAAACGCGGTCACCGTAACGATCGAGTTGATGTGAAATAACTCACACAAGGCCCCCTGATGATCGAATTAGGAGTCGAGGTTTCCAAAAAGTTAGGCTATCATATACGTCATAATTTGATGACTGACGTTTTTAGAAATCATGTTTTTCTTAAATGAACATAATTGCGATATTTTAATGTAATCTTGAGTCTGTTCGATTGATCTTATTTAAAAAGATTATCAGGCGACCTAATAATCCTTCCCAAGTGTTTAATCGATCCTTGGTTTGATTTATAGACCGTAAAAGCCGTCACATTTAGATTGATTGAGCTACGAAGATTTTGCTTTAAATTGTATTAAATAGTGGAATTTTAGTTTAGTTACAATTAATAAAAAAATAATTTTCTAGAAAGTGAATATAGTTCAAGAAATGAAAAATATTTAATCTAACTTTAATATCTCTGTAATAAGGTTGAATTTTCTGTGTACAGTATGGTGTTAGGCACGATGTTCCTCGGAGGTCACCTGATGTCGACGGGCCAGATGTCGGCGGGTGACGTCATGGCGTTCCTCGTCAACGCGCAGACGGTGCAGCGCTCCGTGGCGCAACTGTCGCTGTTGTTCGGCGCCGTCGTCAAAGGTGTCAGCGCTGGTGGAAGAGTTTTTGAGGTTATTCACATCACAATAATAGTAATTACTGATCTATAACTAAGAAGTGGATACAGACGGCCCAAGACCGAGATAGTTGGCGCCCCGTGCGGTGCTCTTCTCTTAGTTATCATCAGAAGGCCAATTCTCGTAATAAAAGTTTGGACACAATATGGTGCCGATAAACCTTCGATCTCACAACTGTCATTAAAGGTATTTTCGTAGTAAAATACTACTAAGACTAGCGGATTACTGATTAAATTTTCAGTTACAATCCATACAAATATTAGAAATGCGAAAGTGTGTCTGTCTATCTGCCTGTCTTTCAGTCTGTCTGTTACCTCTTTACGCTTAAAATGCTGAACCGATTTTTGATGAAATTTGGTACAGAGATCGTCCTAGTCACGGGAAAGGACTTAGGGTAGTTTTTATACCAGTGCATTTTTTCTGATTGCCTACCATGAGATGATTCAAGCATAATCAACACATCAAAAAAAATTTCCAGCGCCATCTAGCGAAAACATACCAAATTAAGTTTTTAAGTTGATCGGTACAGACATATAATATTCCTGTTGGGTCGTGGAACACCAGATCCTTTTTCTTCTAGTCTGGTCTTACACGTCAATATATTTCATAAAAACAAACTTAGATAAATGAACGTGTCAGTTATGATAAAATACTAGGTTTTGAAAATAAACAACTTTTACAATAATTTGCATAAAATTAACTATTTTCAGTACATAAATAAAGACCCGAAAATGGATACATCCGGCAAGAAAATCATCAAATACCATGAGTTTCATGGAGATATTGAGTTTAAGGACGTCGAGTTCGCGTACCCTAGCAGGCCAAACGCAGTAAGTACCAGTTTGGATAATAAAAACTGAGTTTAATACATTGTACCATCCTAGACAGCCAGTATTATACATATAAGGATATTTCAAACGACAAATATAATATTTTACCTATGTATAAATAAGGTTTGAAATGGTTTGCTTATAAAAGCGTACTTGCATATAATTTTATTTTACATTGTTTACAATTGCGACTATTCATTCTTCAAGAGCTTTAGGAATAACTTGAATCGAGAGACAAAATGTAGGAGAATTTTCACTGTGCTAATGTAATACAACCCTTATAATGTTAAAATAAAGACGAAAAACGTACTATTCTTACCGGATCACCAAAGAGTGCAGTTTATAATTTTATTCACATTTTAAATGTTGCTGCGCATTTCACCGCTCAATCTGAGTTGACACTTTAAATTTATTGTTTTTATATAATATCAATAATATTTATTTGTTTACCTGTATAGACGCAAATGCACAAATGACACTATTTGGTAAGACCAATGTAATTAAATCAAAACAATCAAAAAGATACGCTGACACACACTTTATAATAAGAGTGGGGTATTAAATTATTATTATTTTAACAATAAAAGTTTCTTGAATTTATTTTGAGATATTTTTTCTCATCGAAGTCAAGTGAATGCAGATCACTTTCTTTATTCATCGTCGTTATAAAAATGATATAAATTTGCAGGTAGTGTTAAAAAACTTCAACCTAAAAATCCCAGCGGGCAAAACCGTGGCTATTGTTGGCACATCTGGCAATGGGAAATCTACGATAGCTGCTTTGTTAGAGAGGTATTTGTTTTAGAACTATTTTTTAAATACGAGTGTAGCGACTTCCAAATAAACCGTAAAGGAAGTATAGTGTAAGGTAAGGTGGTAAGGTGTCTTCATTAGAAGGCACTGAATGCCTTCTAATGAAGAAACACCGAACTACGGAGTCACTAATCCTGCATCGCGTAATAAAAGTTCTCGCGTCAACATCAACTGTTGGGCCGTGGCCCGCCAGGCACGGCATCCTCTCCGCGTCGGAGGATTCTCCCTTTGAGGGACATGACAGCTATTCCTCCACACTAGTACTAGTTTATTTATCGTGAAGATGACTTTAGATATTAGTATAATACTAGCGCTGCTTCTAAAGAGTACTAATTCTTTAGGTAACAACATGAATAAGTATTTATAAATACTTGTTTATTCAAAGTTTTCATTGAATTCCTTATGTTTTTCGATAAGTGTAAAATGATAGATTCATTTTTCTTTTCCTTAAGACGGTGCCTTCATATAGCGTTCACTGGAATCATATTTCTGCATGTAAAGTTAAATCCCTTTACTGATATTCATCACCTCATCTTCTTGTCCTGTTCCAAATTGATTTAGGGTTGGCGCAATAAGTTTTCTTATTCATCACTCGACATTCGCTCCAAACTCTTCGTCAGTTCGTAGTTCAGGTTTATTGAGTGTGCTTAACTTAAACATATAAATCTATCTTTCTATCTGATCTATCTAAATCAGAGTACGCAAGCTTTATGGAGACTTGTTAACGGAGTCATCAGAATAACCCCTCGTGTCTTCATCATTGCAGTCATATATGTATGGATGTATGTGTGTATGTTTATGTTTTTATATTTATAGGACATTATATAGTACGTATAAATTATATTTACATCTATATATGTATACCCAGTATATCTGTGTAGTATTACATCTTGCAACCAACTACAATTTAAATAATTTATCTCATTATACACCTGCCACACACAAATCTCTGTATCACCCATAGGTTGACTGGAAGAAAATGGCATTAAGTCCGCCTTATGCAATGTATTTGCAGGAAGTATCAATAAATTGTATATAGATCTAAGTATGTAGTTCTGTATAGTATTTTAGTAGAATAATTAGTAATGCAACCTATGTGCGCCTAACACTAACGATTTCTACACCACCCAAAGGTTGACTGGCAGAGAATGCCGTCGGCATTAAGTCCGCCGTTGTACAAGAGTGCATAAAGTTGTGTAAATAAAAAATATAAATAAATAAATGTTTTCAGGTTCTACGACGTGAACGCGGGTAAAGTGACAATAGATGGCGTAGATATCAAAGAGTTTAACGCCGAGTGGCTCCGCGGGAGAGCAATAGGTTTGATCAGTCAGGAACCCGTACTCTTTGCCACTACTGTGAAGGAGAACATCAGATATGGGCGGCCAGATGCTAGTGATGCTGAGGTAATATCGACGGAAATATCATTCATTTTGTTTTATTTAATTTGATTTGCATTTTAAAGTGAGATTGGTAATTAACATTGTATATTTATCACACTCTTTTTTGGCAATAGTATTTTAATTTGATTGTAAGGGAATGTTAAGCTACCAAATAACTCCTTAAAATTATATACAATAGAGTGGAAATTCAAATGCATTCTTATTTCACATGTAAATTGATGAAAACGCTATACATCATGTTGCTCTTGCGGCATGACGTCACAATGGCTATAAATACGTGAATTATTGCAGTATATACTATTTTTTTCTTTCTGCTACAAAATTCCCAGCTTTTTTGTCGCACTCGATGATCGTATCAAGCTGGTTTTCGCCCTGCGTTGTAGTAACAGTTGTCTATTCTCAAGACACTGGAGCCTTGACGCTCAATAAAACGATAATGAGTAGCGAAGATAATTGTTTTTAATGTAAATATTCGTTTTATTACAGTAATGTTCACAATTAGAATAGCAAGTGGAAATGCACAATTTTTCCTTTCTTAAAAAATCTATTATTTCTAAGTACCGTCATACTTCGAAGCGCGTACACAAACCAACATAATAATAGGTTGTGATGACTGTCATGTCATGTCATGTAGATGGCGTTACCATCTACATGTCAACATATTTTGGTATCGTGGTAATTCCAGGTATACCAGGCAGCTAAAACAGCGAACGCGCACGAGTTCGTTTTGGGCTTCCCGGATGGTTACGACACAATGGTTGGTGAAAGGGGCCTGGCGCTGAGCGGCGGGCAGAAGCAGCGGATTGCCATCGCGCGAGCCGTGCTCAAGAACCCGCCCTTACTCATATTGGATGAGGCGACGAGGTAAGCGAGCTTCAAGAAAGTATGGAAAGCATTATTTGTTTGGTATGGTTAACATATACCTACAATATACAAGGAACTCTCATATGACGGACCCGTTGGTCTTGGGGGGCCCTGACTGATAAGTCAGAGGTTATATTCCCACTTACAACAAATATTATGTGATGAGCATGATGTTTTGTTCTACGTCTGAGTTAACTTCTCTATGTTTTTCTATGTATCCCTCTTCATCCCGTGCATGCTCATATGAACCTTTAAGAAATTTGACTATTTACTATTTTCATATTACCCTTAAAAACTACTGAAATGGTTTAAATTCCTTACCCAAGTCGGAATAATTCTCGAATATAACAATAATATATAATTGTGTGTGTGTGTGTGTGTGAGTGCGTGCGTGCGTGCATACGTGCATACGTGCGTGCGTGTGTTTGTGTGGGTGTGTGTGTATATAAGTGTAACATAGAAATGACGAACTTGATAAGCATATATTTTTAAGTCATAAACGCAGTAGATAACATTCACTTTCAAACAGAATCAGCGTTTTGACAATGCCCATTATCGATTTAGTAAAATTAAGTTTTCGCTTTCCAGTGCCCTGGACTCGGCCAGCGAGAAAGTAGTACAAACGGCTTTGGAGACAGCCGCCAAGGGACGCACCGTAATGGTCATAGCACACAGACTCTCCACTGTCATGAACGCAGACTTAATCGTAGTTCTAAATAAGGGCAACATTGTTGAGGTAAGGCTTTTTAAAACCTTTTTTTTTTTGTGCGGAACTCCCCTCGGATACCACTCACCAGTGGGTGATTATGTCGGACTTGAACCGGCTAAAAACGGCACGCCGTCTCCAGGTACCAGTAGCCGGGGAACCAGGTATACCCTAGAAAGGAAAGACCTGTTACTATGACAGGCCTTTGAACCCTTAAATATACAAATGGGCATAAATATAAATTACTAGCTGACCCAACTTCGACTGTTCTCCCGTTTTAGCAGTATTATTCATTGATGCTCGGCTCCCATTGGTCGTAGCGTGATGAAGACTATAGCCCCTGTAAGATGCAACACTAAAATAATGTTTCTAATCGAACCAGTAGTCCTTGATATTAGCGAATTGAACTAAACGAACCAATTCTCCAGCTTCATAATTTTAGCAAAGATAAGATTATTTTAATACTTCAAGTCAGTTACGATAATACGTAAGTGACTTAAATTATTAAAATAATTTAAGATTTTAATAACTTAAGATCTTAAGAATTTAATTATTAAGATTATATATATGAATCTGGAGAATTGATTCGTTTGGCATGGCATGATGTGAAGGTGATATACTTGTTAGTTAATATGTATATATATGTGTATCATCAATCATTAACAGTTTTTACTAGTCCACTGCTGGACATAGGCCTCTCCTTAGAAAAGAGGTTTTGGTCTACTATACCATGCTGGCCAGTCGGGTTGGTATAGGGTTTGTTTCAAGTTTTCCTTCTCTTTGCAGTGCTGTTGTCCTGCGTAGTTTACTCTCTTAGTCGGCTCTTACGACACCCACAATTATGTGTATATTTTTATCTAATTTTACTTCTTTCATCATCATCAGCGTATCGCAGTCCACTGCTGGACATAGGCCTCTCCCATTGCACACCACTTAGATCGATTTTGGGCTTCTCGCATCCAGCTTCTGTCAGCCATCTTGCGTAAATCGTTACTCCACCTGGCCTGTGGGCGTCCTACACTACGTCCTTCTTTCATATTCATTAGCAATTAACCTGTCAAAACTCATTGAACCTTCAACTACTACTGCCTCTCCGGAACATTTTGATCCATCCTAAGGTTGCCAGGAAGAGATTGCTCTTAGCAATAAGGCGGCCATTTGTACATTACATGTCTGACATTTTCATGTACCATACTACTTGTAGAACAGTGTACAAATAAAGAGTTTTTTTACCGTATCAATTTTTTTTTCAGATGGGAACACATGAACAGTTGAAGAAATTAAAAGGTTTTTACTGGAATCTTATAAAGCAGCAAGACCAAGACGCCAAAGCTAAGGCTACAGACTCTTAACACAGTTCGAGACTGATGGCGGTTTCTAGGAAATTCTGTACTTGAATACTTCATCAATCACCATCATCATCATCATCAACAGCCTCTAATAGTCCACTGCAAGACATAGGCCTTTCCTTAGATTTTGGCCTACTGTACCACGCTGGCCAGATGGGTGGGTATAGGGTTTGTTTCAAGTTCTCCTTCTCCTTGCAGTGCTGTTGTCCTGCGTAGTTAGCTCTCTTACTCGGCTCTTACGATACCCACGGGATGAATAGGGGTGGTGACACTCAGTATTTTTAATCCGTCACCACACGGACTTAATTACTTCGGAAACGGATGGAAATTAATATTATCAACACTACATTAATATGGATCTTAATTATTTTTTTACGTGTATTTCAATAATGCCCCAGGTCGTTTCAGCTCTCGATATAAGATCCCCTTCGGGTAAGATAGTTATCGAATTTCAGTACCTTAAATAAGTCTATCGATTAATTGATTCACTATAATCGAAATATTGTTTGTTACTACGAGGACTAGCTAAAACATTAAAGGTATCCGGAAATTATTAAAGGTATGAATATTTTAAATAAAGAGGCTAGATATGTGACGACTGTGAAGTAGAAAATAGACAAGCTTTTCAAACTTCGTCACAAAAATATAAACTTTATTTACATTTTTACATTTTAGGACTTGAGTTTACATTTTATACCAAAGTGCACTTCTTAAAACATGAATTAACTTATTTTGAATGAGGGGTGATTTAGACATATTAATATAAACAATATTTAACACAACGTTTTCTGACATATATATATCATGCATGATGGGGTAAAAGAGCGGCTCCTGGCCAAGTGGTGACCGAGTAGATTAAGACATTGCAAAGTTAAGGAATCCTAGCTTGGTCAGTCTATGGATGGGTGACCATACTTAACACATTAACACCCCTCCGTGATTCGAAGAGCACGTTGAGCCGTCGGACCCGGTTGCCATACGAACATCCGTGGCAACTGTTACGGGTTTGTTGGAGCCCTAACAAGTCCGAGAACTTCAATATCGCTTAGTACTTGGGTTGTGGAGGTCTGATGGTAGTCCTCGTAAAAAATAGAAGGTCTGTATTGTAGTAGACTTAATGCCGACCCCAACCTAGTTTGGGAAAAAGGCTCGGAGAAGGAAGGTGGTAGAAGAGCAGGGCCTCAATTCTGCTACTTTATGTTAACGTACAAGCCACTGTCATTCCATTAACAAGTTATTGAGATGCCATTGACATCGGTCACAATATCGGCATTCTGCTAAAATTTTACAGTGTCAATAGACTGTCGATATAGTGACAATGGCTCATCAATGGTGATATCAACAACATTACCATTTATGGAAAATTAAATTAATTAACATTTCCTTACAAATTTAAAATGTACCGTTTACCAAACTATTAAAAAGATATCGATGTCATATGTCTCAGTGGCAGTTCAGTGACAAGTCATCGGTCCGACCATAAAATCTTGTGCGGATCTGATAATGGAATCTATGAGGAAATGACCAAGCTTTTTAGATTCTTGTGGGTGAACAGTTCCTTTACTATGTCAATCGTTCAATACGACCTTTGTTGATTCTTGAAAAGCTTTCACTAAATATGTAAAGACAACCGGATATTTTTAAAGTATAATTTTGTGTTCTGAGCCAGATCTGTCCTCTTCGTTTGTAATATTTAAAAAGGATAATAACTTTGAAAAAATGCCCAAGTTTATTTCACATCTATTCGATCTGCGATTGGCACGCACTGAAATCTCTACCGATCGCAACGCTAAATGCGTTGAGAGCGAGGCGATGTTACATAAACTTGCAGTAGGCCCTCAGAATAAAATACGTGAGTGTGCTTTGTTCAAATGTGTTTCGGGAACGTATAGGATTTAGCACTCGACTCGGGTCCCATTTCAAGGAACCCTGTTTGAAACTAGTCGGGCGTCCGTAGTACACACGTGAATAAAACCATTTATCTGTAATAAAAAAGTACAATCGGACAAGATTATTCGTGTTGTTAAAAAGATTAACTCTCTAAAACTTATAATTTAATTTTACAAAAACTTAAAATTTACAAAAATCGTAATTTAGTATAAATTTTGGATATTTGTAAAACAATAATTCAATGCAGATAATAAATCGTCATCCTGATGTTGTGTTGGCTATACAAGTGCTCGTGATTAGAAATTAGGATTAATTTATTTATTGTAAGCGTAATTACATAGTAAAGTACCTTTCATTGTATAAATAATTATTTATTTTAAGACAATATTGGAGTGGTCAAGTTTATACTTGTAGGCGAATATTAGGTGGCATATAACTGGCATGTTTTCCATTGACGAGCCTGTTGGTCTAGTGGTTAGTGACCCTGACTGCTAAGCCGGAGCTGGTGGGTTCGATTCTCACCCAAGTCAAATATTGTCTGATGAGCATGATCATTTGTTCTGTGTCTGAGTGTAATTTATCTATAATATATATGTATGGATTTAGAAATATGTAGGTATGTTTATCAGCACTCTGATTACTATAGCACATGTTCTGCCTGGTTTGGGATCAGACTGCCGTATGTGAGATGTGTAAAGTTGTTATTATTTATTGCAAAGACTATAGTTCTACCATGCTTTTAAAAACTTGTAAAAAAAGACGGTAGACACATCAAAACAATGTTGTAATATATTTAATGATGCGACTGTGTCTAGTTGTAATTAAAAAAGAGTGGCCGTGAGTTTGTTTTCTTCTTAGAAGGCTCAACCTCTTGGAAATGGGCGGTTGATGATTTCACCCTTGCCGTTGATTTTGACCCGTTTTCAGTTTAATTGTCTCTCCGTAATAAGTATAAAGTGTTAAAGGGCCTGGACCCATAGATTAGATTACAGTTGCGTGACGTATTAACATTGTGAAGCGTGCGTATATTGGAAGAGATAATATCATGTTTCCAAATTTTATTATTCTGGTTTCGTCGATTTTAGTTACAGGGGCAATAACCTGGTTATAACCTGGTTATAACCTGGTTCCCCGGCTATTAGTACCCGAGACGGCGTGCGGTTTTAGTCGGTTCGAGTCCGACATGCCACCGATAGGTGGTATCCGAGGGGATTTCCGCACGAAAAAAAAAAAGAAAAAAGGGGCAATGGTATAATGTTTTTTTTTTATGGGTTTCTAATGTTTGCGTTCAAAGGTAATGTGGGAAATATAAAATAGTCTTTGCGTCAATAGATCTGTCCTTTTGGGGGTGATAAACGGTTTACTAATTAAAATTACAGGTAGTATAATTTATTGTTAGTTAAAACAGGTGATGTCATTAGTCAAAAATATTGCTTCTAAAAAATTCTACGTTATCTTTGGTTTGTTAAAATAGAATCATTGCAAGCTGTAAGTGGGTAGTAGGCCTATTCAATGCAAAAGCATGCCAAAGGCTCGTTAAAGAAATAGAGATATCTGACAATAATTAAGGCTATTAGTGCATGACATCTTTAGGAATATGGTCCATTTGTGTTAAAAAAATAGTGACGCAAAGCTCAAGCTCCGCAATCAGCAGAAACAATAATCTCTTGGAACCTGATTGGTCAAGGGGCGGGGCTTGATCGATGCGTCACTATTTTCTTAATACGAATGGACTATATGTAGTTTCATCCACGCGCCGATAGATCTTTGTCGCACTATTTGAGTAAATATAAAAAACTTTATTGAAGTTTTTTGACATGGGATTAAATTGTACATGTAATATATTATAATATAAATCAATTTATGTTTGTATCAATTTATGTAAATCAGTTTAAACGCGTTTGTTCCGTTTATCCGATCGTCATGAAATTTTGATTTTTTTTATTAGGTTTCTCTTTAATCTTTAAAATAAATATTCCCGAGTAATTAAAAAATAGGCCAATGAATTTTTCGTAACCAGACAACATATGATTTATTATTCACCAAAATGTTTCATTGTCTAATTGTGTTTGTTATTAACAGGTATTTGGCTATCAAAATTGTGTGTGATTTAAAATTTGGAAAATGGTACGAAAGAATAAAATATTGTTACCATATTCTTGACTTTTATTACTACTTATAACTACCTTATTGATTTTGTTTATAGCAGTTGATATTATCGCAGTTTTTTTTATAGATCATCATCATCATCGTCATCATCAACAACCTTTACTAGTGCACTGCTGAACATAGGCCTCTCCTTAGAAAGGAGGTTTTGGCCTACTGGCCAAGCTGGCCAGACGGGTTGGTATAGGGTTTGTGTCAAGTTTTCTTTCTCTCTGCAGTGCTGTTGTCCTGCGTGGTTTGTTCCCTTAGTCGGCTCTTACGACACCCACGGGATTAATAAGGGTGGTGACACTCTGTATTCTTAATCCGTTACCACACTGGCGCACTGCCTTTTCAAATTCCACACGAACGAAGTCGCGGATACCAGCTAGTGTATAATATGTATGTATTTAAAAAAAAAGAAGTATTCTATTAGTAAATCTAGCTTTCATAGTACAAGCCCTGCTTGGTTTGAAACTACTATTCCTGCTTGGTATCCGAGACGGCGTGTGGTTTTTGGTCGGTTCATGTCCGACATAATCACGGATTGGTGGTATCCGAAGGGTTTTCCGCATAGAAAAAAGGGGCATTATTAACAACAAAATATTACAAAACAAAAAATATATATTTCATTAAGTATCTTTTTTCTTCGGCGTGAACATTGACAGCACGATAAGACCTGTGAACAAAATTATCGATATAATTCTTCATATTAATGTCATAATTGTCGTTTTTTAGGTATAATAATAAAGAGACTTACATATCATCATCCCCGCCATAGAATAGAACGGGACCTCGCACCCTTTGTCTAGGAGTATAGGAAAGCCGATATTTCCTATTAAGGTGCCGATCCGAGAGAGTACTATCACTAAAGACATTGCAACGGATCTGGTGACAATAAAAAAGGTAATTAGTAATTATCCGTTAAATCTATACAAATAAATAAAAGTGAAGTGTCTGTTTGTCATGCTCTCTGTCATGCCAAAATAATAGTTTTTTTCATGCTTACATGGTTTTATGAACGATACCTATGGCAAAAAAAACAGTTTAAATATTTTTATCTGTCTGTCTGTTTGTTCCGAGTAATCTTAAAAACAGCTTGACCGATTTTGATAATACTTTACTACCAGGTAGCTGTCTATATATAAGGAGTAACTTAGGCTATTTTTTCTCTGAGAAAACCCCTATAAAATTTAGCCCGCTGTGGGAATCGAACCCACTAATGCAGCGCTTTGCAAATTCCACGCGAGCGAAGTCGCGGACACCAGCTAGTTATTAAATAAAATAAATAGTTCGTTACCTGGTTAGTATAAGTAACTTGTATATTTAACATTGTAACTTCAGATATGATAGGAAATCTAAACCGGACTAAAACAGTATGAGTAAAATTTTAGTTTACAATATTTTTCTTCGAATATCATAATAACTGGACACACCTCATAAATGGCTGTCTGATCCTAAACTTTTCTTTTTTTTTAAAAGACAACTCCCGCAGTATTTATATATATCCAGTGTCGGGAGGACTTTACAAACACACATGAAACGAACACAAAGAACACCCAGACTCAGAACAACAATTTGTGAATCACACAAAGTGTGGTATTCCATTTAGGATCGAACCCACAACACTCAGAGCTGTAGGAAGCGGGGTGGCGACCGCTTAAACGACTACGCTATCCGTGCAGTATATATTACTAAATTCAAAAATATAGACATACATTCGGACAGAATGAATGGCCGTGCTCTTCACTTAATTATTTGCCTTGTGTGGCACTAAACCAACATGCCAGGCTATAATTATATTTTGGTCTATCTTATGGATTTACTATATTCTTAAAGTATTTGATAGTCTTAAGAAATACCTCCTCACACCTTACCTTATAGTCGTAGGAAAAACTTCCACTAAAACCATTTGCGTCAAGCTTTTCATAGTCTGCATGATCGCCACATCAACAGAGAATAGCGCTACCATCATAGTCTTGGATTGCGCCCATCGTATGCCCAACAGTGCGCCGATACAGATGATACCTGACAAGATTAGAAGGTTCTTCTTCCCCACTTTGTTGACTATCACGCCGCTTATGAAGTATGGGACAATACAGACCAGACCTATTATGATGCTGTCGATATAAGTTTCCATACCACTGATGTGCTGAAATGAATTAGTAATCTTTACTATGAATTAGTTTTTACTCGCAGTTTCGCTCACATTCAAGTTATTAAAAATATGTTTATATTAACAAAAAAAGTATATATGTATTCTATCAGTCAATCTAGTTCTGCCTAGTTTGAAACTAGATGGCGTTGTGTGTCAAGTGTCCGAAATATTATTATTATAATTTTAAATGTACTGAGTTTTATGATTCATGAAAACATATATGTGTCTAGGAAGGAGCTGTACCTGGGCACACATGGGCCAGGCTCGACCGGAGTAACACCAAAGCCCTACAGAAGCGTTCCGTACAAAATTTGAAGGTACATATTATAAATAGTTCAAGAATTGAGTCTCTCTGATTTTGCCGAGCTTTTACCCGACATTCAGTTTCCAAAACCTATAATTACTTAAATTGTTGTTTTGTTTGTTTGTTTAATAAGTGAAATTGTACCTAGATGATTGATTGAGTACTTTAAATAAAGACTATATTTTATGATTAAATAACAAATGTTTAGTTTTCAGATTTTTCCCTGTACTTGTAGTATAAGACGATGGTACTTGCCAAATTTCATAGTTCTAGGTCATCGGGAAGTACCCTTTTCTTTTTTTTTTCCCGTGCGGAAATCCCCTCGGATACCACCTATCGGTGGCATGTCGGAGTCGAACCGACTAAAACCGCACGCCGTCTCGGGTACTAATAGCCGGGGAACTAGGTATACCCTAGAAAGGAAGTCCCTGGTGCCCCGACGTACCTCGGGCCATCTACAGACATCGGGAAGTACCCTATGAATTTTGATTCCTTTGACAGTGTCGAAATGCATTTGTTGCCGTATCTTTTTTTCACGTTAACTTAGAAGTTTTTTTTGGCAGCTTCAAGGGGCTGTAGTCCTGAGTATATGGTTTTAATTTTAACTTGATACCTCTACGTATTACCGAGATAAAGGGTTTTGACAGACAGACAGACGGACGGACGGACAACAAAGTGATCCTATAAGGGTTCCGTTTTTTCTTTTTGAGGTACGGAACCCTAAAAAGAAGTTGCATATGTCTGTGGGCGGCGATAGTCACTTACCATCAGGTGAACCGTCTGCTCGTTGCACCCAATAACATGAAAAAACCATGTTGTGGAATAATTGCACAATCATGAAATAACTTTAGAGATTTATGATTGTGAGTACACGAACGTATTTTTTTTTATATGTGGTTATAGATGTGTTGGATGACCTTAAAAACATGATAATAGCAATAGTTATGTGACGTATAAATTGACATGTTTGTACTATGAACTATTTAATGATATGTCTTAAATGAATGAAGGTTACTTATCCCAACTATAGATGTTTAAAGTTTAATCTACATATATGTTATGAGGATAGGTAAGTTTACAAAATAGTTATAAATGTCATAAACAAGTGCATCACGTTTTAACGGAAAATTATTAAGAGCTTATACTCAGAATAAATTAAACCGATGGCTCCTTCGCAAAAGTTTTTTTTTTTTAATTCTATTCTCCTTACCGGTACACAAACTTCCGTACTATTCAGTGTAGAGTTAGCTATCCTTAGTTTTTCGGTAGCAGTATAGTTGTCCACTAATGCGCATAAATTCTGACTTGCATCCAAATCGTAATGTTCGACGATTGTTGACAATTGTGGAAACCAGAGCCGTAACACGTCGTATCTAAAATTATGAGCAGATCATTTAGATTACGGGTAGGAAGGAAAATATTTTCTTAGTGTCAATGAGTAACGGAATTAAAAGTTATTTTTAGTACCAAGGGCGCTTAGCTTAGTTTGCAAGGCAAACTAAGCTAAGCGCTGACGATGATTATCATGTTTTCGAAGTACCTATTCAGTTTTAAATCAGTGGGACTATGACGACTTCCACATACAGTGAAACCAAGAAACATATTACAACGCCATCTAACGAAGACACACCGAACTACAAAGTAACTGCTAATCATGAACAATATTCTCAAGCCGATTAGCATTTTATATACAACTTCCCACATCAATAGTTAGGCCGCGGCCAGATAGGCATGACCACTGGATCGGAGGGAGAACACCCGTTCCTCCATCATCATCAACAGCCTTTACTAGTTTACTTCTGGGCATAGGCCTCTCCTTAGAAAGGAGGTTTTGGACTATACCACGCTGGCCGTTCCTCCATAGTATAACTTTAATTGATTTTTTTTAGAACAGATAATACTTACATTCCAACTATAACTAGTTGCATAGTTCCTAATATTATCAAATAGGATATCAAAGGTCTTTGCAACATAGGTTTCATATTACGCAGGCCTATTAGAACTTGAGTACGGAACATTCCAAAACTGTGTTTCTGTGTTACTTTTGATGTGGTTTCTAGTATTTCTTGGTCCCATAAGTTAGGATACTAAAAGGATAAGTAAATGTGAAATTTTAAATCAAATGTAAAATAATAAAAAAATACAATGTAACTACACACGTACTTTTTGTTCGTCTCTATGGTCAAATTGATTACTCGTGCGCACGTCCACATTGAATCACAGCTGGATCACAAAATACTCTTAATTAAACAATAATTAGACTATGTTACCATATTCTTGGCAATTAATGGATTATTCTTACTAGTTACTAATTACTACTACTAATTGAATTAATAGTTTCAAGTAATGAATAAAATATTTCCTAAGACCTCTATTAGATAGAAAAGCTTATAGACTCAGTTCAGATGACAAGCGTTGACCGTGCGTGGGGTTTTGTGTCCACGTGGCAAGCGGTTGTCGGGCGTTGAAGGTTCTTTGTCGAAGTTCAATGCACACAAAAAATAATTCAGTTTTATTTGTAAATTATACTTATGAAATAAAGTGTTAACAAACTAATACCATTTACCTATGTAAAAAATGGCAGAGGAACTATTTAAATGGTCAAAACCTTTTATTAAATAATTTTAATATTGAAAATACGCTCCTGTGAACAACTGGTTCAACATGCGCGTTAGCATTTGAACGATTCGATTGAAATGCTTTATTTTGTGATGATCGCACATTCAACATAAATAAAATAAATTAAAATAAATATCTCAAATTAAATTAATTGATATTTAAACGAAACCGTTAAGAGCAAATGTAATTTAGACAAAAATAAATCAATTTACGTACGGCTAAAACCTGAGTTATCTGTAGATAATTATTTACACAAGTATGTACAAATGTACAGCCGGGTACTATCGGTAAACCTACTAACTAACAATAAGAACAAGTAATAAGGCCCAGCTAATCAAATAATTCATATTCGTAATATATTAATGACAACTAAACGTTCCAAGCAATTTAATACCGACATCTGAATAAACTTGTCTTAGTAAGTTTATGCAGCTGCAAATACCATTCGTATTCGTACATTTTAATGACAATATATAGCCCTTACCGGAAATGTTTCTGGTGCTTTTCTTGTGTTTTCTGCATAAACATTCACTAAAATATTCTTTGCTTCTAAATACTTCTTCTGTGTTACCAAGAACTTTGGACTTTCTGGTAAAGTTGAGTACAAAAAATAACCCACGAACGACCAAAATGACATGGCAAATAAGTAGAAATTCCATATTTTAAGTACTGAAACAGTAATTAAAGTAATTTTAACATTTATAAGAAACTAGCTTACGTCCGAGGCCCCGCCCTTTTGAATCTTGGTTATTATAGCGGTAAAAAGAACCAAATTTTATTAAAATCAGTTCAACGGTTTAGCAGTGAAAGTATAACAGACAGGCATACAAATTTAACTTCACATTTATAATATAAGTAGGGATAATACGTGTATGTCATTATTCGGGTATAGTTAATTTCAATGTCTTACCAAAACTGCCACCAAAAAAGCTCCATTCCCAATCCTGCAGAAGAATCCCCCAGGCCATGGCTGGACATATAATTTGGGCCATAGCTCCGAAGGCTGATTGACACAACATCACGCGATCTCGAACCGTCGGGTGACAGAACTCAGATGTAATCGACATTATCCCCGTATTGGCTATTCCGACTCTAAGAAAAAGTGAAGAAGTTGACTCAAAGGTGAAATGAAGGTACCCGCACTTGGTATATATTCTGTGGCGCGGGGGACTCTACAAACATGCACGAAACAGACACAAAAAAACCCAGAACAACAATTTGTGGATCACACCATGTGTTGTCCTGTTGAGGGTGCTAAGGCGACGGGTAAATATAAAGATGGTGTGCGGTAATAACGTGTTTATTGTTCCGGATTCGTACACAGAGTGTCCTGCAAAGACTGAAGATCTAGTCTACAGCATATTAAGCTATGTATGCACTTTACATTGTAGGTAAAATCACGTACAGCCGCTACAGTCCCATGCGGGGGTCGAACCCATAATACAGCGCGGTAGGAAGCGCCGAGGTGACTGCTTAAACTACTACGCCATCCGTGCAGTCTTTTCTTAATTGCTTTAAGAACGCGCTGTGGAGCGCGCGCGCGCGCCCTTGCCAGGAGGACATGACGGTTCTCACACAGGAGGGTGTCATTTACACGCCGTTGTTTGTGGCTCCGGTAACCTCATTCTATTGGTAAATAGCCACGAAAGAATTGCTGAACACTAGCTTTCTGAGAGGGCGTTGTATGACTGCTGTCAAGCCGGCCTATTTGTGCCGAATCATGGCTCTACAACAAAAACGTAATTGTTCGTCTGATGTAAAGCCATAGTGTACCTTTTATTTGTAACCGACATCAAAAAGGAGAAGGTTTTTTGTTTCCTATAGATCTCATGATGAGTTTCGGAGACTGACAAGGGAACTCTTAAAAAATGACAGCAAATCAACCGTAATTGCTACTATATTTTAGGGCTCTTTTTAGTATTGTTTGAACTCGGTTTAACTTTTTTTAAAGGATTTATTAACCAAGATATCCGTTGAAAATTACATAACAACTACAGACATATCATACCAATACTATATGGATTATGTATATGTATGTATGTGTAGGTATGTTAGAAAGTTTGAATGTATATATAATTATATATTCCCTTTTTCTACCCCCATTTGTTCGCTTATCTTTTTGTGTGAATGTATTTCTTAGTTAGTCTTGTTATATTTACTTTGGCACTTTTATTTAAGTTAAGTGCACGTAATCACTCATTTCTACACCACCCCAAGGTAGACTGGCAGAGAATGTGTACGGCATTAAGTCCACCTTTGTACATTTCTTGTGCATGAAGCATAAAATAATAAAATAATTTCGTACCACTCAGAAGTAAACATTGTAATGTTACTTACAAAACTCCTTCACCGAATTTAGCAGCGGCGTACATCCCATAATTTTGACTGGACGCTGACAATAACGTAAAAAAGAATAATCCTCCATAACCTAACTTTAGAAATATAATTCTTCCAAATGTATCGATTAAAAACCCTGATATCACAGACGAAATCAACATACCTGAAAAAAAAAAACGTATTTTATATCATAGTAACCTCCTAAATGCGGAAACCGAAGCCCACAACCAATACCAATCATAGTAACCTGTAAGGAGAGGCCTATGTCCAGCAGTGCACTATTACAGGCTATTGATGATGATGATGATATCACAGTAAAAAAATAATTATATAATATTTGAAAAGTTATGTTGTCATTTAGTCCAGTCACGTTCGAGGATCAGAGAGTTCTGAGCTCTCGGCCATAGAAATCCTGGACGCAACACTGTGTGGTTGACTTTGGTTTGATTCGGACATAGTCACTGCCGCCGAACGACCTGCATCAAGCTAAGCTAAGCTTTTGGTTTTTAAATGTACAGTATATTTATGTGTCATGAAATCATTTTTATTCAACTGTTGGTCACAGATTTCATGACCCTATTTCCAAAAATATGGGCATGCTGTACAGTTTTTTGCTGTGAGTTTTTTACAAACTCGAAACTACTTACCAAAAAATGGCATGGCAGTTAATAATCCTTTTTGCCTCAGGTTCATATCAAGATCACACTCAGCAATCGGAAGTAAGTACGAAGTTGAATTGGTGACTAGTATAGAAGCGATAAATCCTGCAAAAGTCGTGAGCAGCAATCTGATATGAAAGCGGCCAAATTTGCATTCTTCGAACACCTTGTTTATATCTTGTATTGGAGAAAATGACTCTGAAAATAACAGCAGATAATTCGTTAATATTCAAGGTTGTTCAGTTCTGGTTATAAAGACAGAATTTCAGTTATTTATCGGAATCGTTACGTAGACAATATTGGACTCAAATTAATAAAAACATCCCAGAAGTGACAAGGTTAATCAATTTACATGTGTGCCAAATATTAACCTTAAACGTACATGTGAAAATTAACGATTATTTCTTTAAAATGCATAACCAATTGTTACATCAAGGCCTTGAATCTTTTATTTATCTATCAAGGCTATTGTAGCGTGTCAAAGAAATATTTTATTATACGGTGGAAGATCAAGTTTCACTCCAAGTTCAGGATGCCTCTGATCGTGATGCTTCATCTATAATCATTTAGTACCTATCTATTTTACCAGCAGATAAATAAATAACAAATAAAGTGATGTAATCCGTACTACAAAGATAATACCGAGACTAGTCGACGTTTACATGTTAATCGGGAAAATAACTCTGAAAATTACAGCAAATAAGTCGTTAAGTTTCAAGGTCGTTTCGATATTTTGTAACCGGTTTTAAATAACAGTATTTTACTTATTTGGGGTCGTTATCATGTATAAACGTATAGGGTATATAACTAAAATAGGCATCAGATATGACAAATATGGAATGTGTTTTTTTTAAAGACAACTTCTCGATAGGAATATATCCTGTGTCGTGGAGGACTTTACTAACATACATGAAACGGACACAGAACACCTGGCTCAGAACGACAATTTGTGGATCACACAAAGTGTCGCCCCACGTGGGGATCGAACCCACAACACTCGGCGTAGTAGGAAGCGGCGTGGCAACCGCTAAAACCACTACGCCATCCGCGCAATTATTGATCACTTATAGGATTTCCTTTTTTATAGTCTAGGGAGGCAAACGAGCAGACGTGTCACCTGATGGTAAGTGACTATCGCCGCCCAGGGACACCTGCAATTCAAAAGTCTCAAGTGCGTGGCCCTTCCAGTCCCTCCCCCCAGAATCAGGGGGAGGGGAGAATTTGGGCTTCCGTAACCTCACTGACTCGGTGAAAAGCGATGAAAGAACTAAAGGTGCTTAACACCGGTTTTATGTGAAGCCGTGGTATCAATCCGGTTGTCCCTGGCCTATATGTGCCAAAATAAAATCATCTGTCTCCAATGATTAAAATCACAAAATTTGAACAAATCGCACTTGCATAAACTTGTCTACAAACCCAAATTATAGTTTACCAGTGATCCGCTTCGGCTTCGCATGGGTGCAAAGTAGATACTACTTCTACTAATGTGGTGTCAGTGTCGAGTACATTTTAAGTCTATGATATCTACTAAGATGCTTACTTACTTACACTGTAAAAGGCAATTTTAGACCTACACTAAATGAACAACGTATGTAATGCATTTATTTGGATACAGAACAATACTGTATTATTCAAAATAGCTTTGTAAATTACCAAAAATACCAATTTTCGTAATATGTAATAAAAATGCGGGTTATTCTTAGAAGACAGACATACACCTCCGCGGACTTTTTTGTAGATATTTTTAAGATATACAATTCCGTAGTACATTATTTTGGTCTATCTCTTAAGATTTAGCCAGCGTTTGCAATGTAAACGAAATTCTCGGCTTTTCTCTACTATAATATGCTTGTATTATATATATAAACCTTCTTCTTGAATCACTCTCTCTATTGGTAAAAACTGCATTAAAATCCATTGCTTAGTTTATAAGATCAAAGCGTACAACACAAAAAAGCGACTATGTAAAGATATTTTATCCAACATGAAATTCTAATTATTCCAACCAGTTAAAAGAGTTTTCACTACACTTAGGAGTATGAAGTTATATCTTCATGTAGGTGGGACATTCAAAGGGTTACTCAAGAGTCAGTAAGTTAACAGTTTTTAACTCTGCTCAAGATATTTCTGACTGTTATGCTACATTTAAATATAGCAGGTCAGAAATACGTTGAGCAGATTCAAAATTCGCATATTCTTATTAACATTTTAGCAGTTACTGTACCTACCTGTTTTACTAACAGAAGTTTTAGACGATTGAGCCATTGTACTTCAGTATGTTCGCAAATAAATAAATACTGTGATTTCACTATAACTAAAGAAATAATATTGAGAATAAGTAATACGTATCATTTATGCTTTTTTTCTTCTTTAGTTGGTATGGATTGAACTCTCAAGATACACGACAAGTTCTAATAAACATTTACTTGTTAATAGGAGAAAATATTTTAGAAGCTTGTGTTATTCTGTAGGTAAACATTAGATAACACTGTGAATAAGAATCTTGTATTTACAAGTTGCTGAGTATAATATTTACTACGCTACTAAACAAACATAGTATTAAGGGTCGTTCTCCACTTGAGCGAATGTGAGGTTCTTTGATCGTTTACGCCTCCAGTATTTCCCCGACGACCTGACGAAGGTCGAGAGAAGTCGTTGGATGCGGGCAGTACAGGACCGGTTGTTCTGGCGAACCTTGGAGGAAGCCTATGTCCAGGAGTGGCGTTCTTTCGGCTGAGATGATGATGATGACAGATTTAGTGAGGCTCTGAACTTGTATAAATCAACTTCTTTATTGGATATGCCAACACTCATTAGTTCTCGTATTTAGCTTATTGGTGGTCAATTTGCCATCTGACGCCTGGAGTGACGGCTCCACTCGCTCTACCCACCCTAGCGCCGTCTCTGGTTCATGTATGTAACGGAAATTTACCTAATTTATTTGGTTATCATACCTGTTTATATATTGCCTACTATGTACCTTTTGTAGGGACTAATCCCACCCACACGCCCACCACTGTAACTCCTGTACACCAGGATCCACAGCAGTGACCCACGAACACACCGAGTTATAATAATAATAATAATAATAATAATAAATCTTTATTTCAGAAAAGTTTCCATATAATGTTTATGATATTTCTTTATTTTGGTTACATTACTTATGTAGCTATCTGTAACCATTTTTTAAACATGGAACTGTTACATACCCTGTCAGCAAGTTCCTTAATTATAGTGTTCCTACACGAACCAACCCGGGCCATAAACGCCGCGATTCGGCTTCTTTGGATGGCATTAAACGTGTTCAGTCTTGCCTCTACAAACATTGTGGAGGCGCTACAAAAACTAAAAAACTAAGAAAGGTGCTAACCCCATAAGGTGCCTATAGATATTATTGTACTGAACACGAATGCCATCCAAAGACCTCTTCGTATATGCAGTCCAGAGTTGACACGTGTAGAAATTCTGACAGTATGCTCTGAACAGGTGCACTTTAGTCTGTACATTGGCATTAAAAAATCTCCTGGCAATCATATTGCCAACGACTGAGAGTGCTCGACGCTGTCGATCTATATCAGCGTCATCTCTCATGTCTGACGTGAGTATGTGACCAAGGTACTTGAACCTCCCCACCATGTTAACTATCTGTCCTCCTAACCATACCGGAGGCACGTTCTGAGGACCTCTTCCCGACCTGAATACCATCATTTCAGTCTTTTTTGCATTGTATACTAACTCATGCTCTGTAGCATATCTCTCACATATAGCTAGCAGTCTTCTTAAGCCCTTGATCGAGGGGCTGAGCAGGACCATATCATACCATATTATGACACTCGGGAAGTCCCAGGAAGAAATTAAACTGTCTTGGAACCCGCAACGAAATTAATCAGAAGAAAATTGGAGGAGTTGGAAATACAGTAAATCCACTTCCCTCCTTAGCAAAGCGGGAGACAAAATGAAGTAAAATGGGCATACACCCTTTTAAACAGGGAAGCACCACGGCCACAAATATTACGGGTCCTACGTGAGCTATGTTTGATTTCTATTATATGTACGGCAGAATCGCCTAAACGCACGGAAATTCACCCTAGTTGACACAAGATCCCCATAGTATACCGCCTCAGAAGTCACCTGCAAGATATTCAGCATTATATTACATTCATTATACCAAAGACTACATTCCCAGAGGATATGATGAGCAGACTGTTCATAGTGAGAGTTAGGTGTTGAGCATTGACACAATGGTGACTCGACTAATTTAAATGAATAAAGCTTGCTCTTTAAGTTACCATGACCCGTAAGAAATTGAGCGACACAGTGATCCACCTCAAGCCATATCCTCGACAACCGTTCGCGAACAGATAGAAAGAATTGGTAAAGATGGCGCCCCTTGGATGATTCATCCCAGCGTTGTTGCCATTCGTCTATGAGGTCATTATAGACATCGGGCTGCTGTTGAAGCAATCTTGTAATTTTACCGCGATCCCGCGCGCCAAAAAAATCGCATTCCAAGTTTTGTTGTCTTGAATAGTACATGGCTGCACGTCTCTGCACCTCGAGATCGACCGGAAGCACACCCGCCAACACCGGCAAAGCCTCAGTGCTAACCGTCCTATATGCCTTACACAAGAATATCAGTGCAAGTCGTTGGCCTTGTAACAGTTTGCGACGGACAGCGCCTACGGTCGCCCTATCGGCCTATACAGGTGCACCATAGCACATAGAACCTAAATAAGTAGCTCCGTATATGATCTTTAATGTATTAAATGATAGACCCCATGACACACACAGACTGGCACAGAAACTCTTTTTAGACTTTTCATTAACTATTTTAATATGTTCAATAAATGAAAAGTTTCTTTCTAAAACTAATCCTAGATAACACACTGTAGTTTTATTTTTTACAGTAACATTGTCAAATCTAATGCTCGGCGGTGATTTGAGGTTACCTTTTAAAAGTAGCTGGAAGGTTTTGTTGGGTGCAAAAGTTAAGCGATTACGTTCACCCCATTGAGATATCAAGTTCAAACATCTATTGGCTAATCTCTCAAGCCCCGCCCTAGTATCAGATTCCATCAGTAATAAGCCGTCATCAGCATACGCGTTCAGAGTACATCCGGATGGTATTGGTATCGCAAGAAAATCGTCGAAGCCGATATTCCACAAGTATGGACCTAGCACCGATCCCTGAGGACATCCCATCGTAAGCGCCTTCGACACAGAATGATGACCAAGTCTTAGTTTAGTTGTACCTTGTAAAAAGTACGAAGAGATAAGGGAATAAATATTTTTAAAGCACCCCCGTGATTTTAATTTCAGCAACAGCATGGGCCACCATGCGTTGTCGAAGGCGCCAGATATATCTAAGAAAATAGCCAGCACGTATTGAAATTTTGACTCTGTGACAAACTTTCTAACCGATATAACAGCGTCAGTTGTCGATTTACCCAACGTAAATCCAAATTGTCTATCATGAAATTTGACTCCACCTGGCAGAAGCCGGGGCACTACAAGACGTTCTAAAAGTTTTCCTAAGGATGGTAATAATGTGATTGGTCGGTAGGATTTAGGATCATCCGGTGGCTTGTCGCCACTTTTTGGTATTATACGAATATTACCGCACCGCCATATACGAGGAAATATTCCTTCAGCAATGCAACGTTTAAAGACAGTGAAAATCGTGTCACCCGAAAGTTTACAAGCTTCTTTTATCATTTTGTTAGATATTTTATCATCGCCCGAAGCCTTGTTTAGCGGCAAGGATCTAATGATACCGAGAAATTCGTCTGAAGATGGTAAATCAGACATTGGAGACAGTGGTGGTTCGATGGCCCACTGCCTGATCTGTCGGTGATGATCAGTGTCGTTTTCCGGTCGATCGTCAGGTACGAGTGAGTCTAAGAGATATTCTGCTGTTTGTTCTACTCCTGTGGTATATCTGTTATTAATTTTGATGTTCTGTATGTATGCAAGGTCGATTGATCTATTTGCCTTAAATTCGTGATACAAAGGTGACCACGGGCCCTCTCTATCGAGTTTATCAACAAGTTTCTGAATTAAGTTTCCCTTGGATTTTTCCACAGCAGCTCTGTAGTGGGACCTGGCAACTCTAAGAGCAATGAGAGCATTGTTGTACAAATCTCCTGTTACGTTATGTTTTTTAATAGTGTTTAATTTTCTACGAGCTTTCCGGTAGCTTCTACGTAGTTCGGCTAATCTATCATTCCACCAATCACATCTACGAGTGTTAGTGATAGATCCGCGACCAATAGTTACATCAGCGCAGTATGTAAAAGTTTCTGATAGTATTTCTGCGCTTTCCTCAGCTGATAAACTACTGCGACTGAAGTCTTTGGTATGAGTTGCAAAGAGTGAACCAAACAAAGCCCAGTTCGCACCTTTAGTTTTATATCTAAAATTATAGGGAGCCCTTTGTGGATCCTGTGCAACCCTTGGTATGAATTCGTACACGATCAAGCGGTGATCACTACAGGATGCGTCCGGAAGGACACGCCATCCGGATATCGAGACGTCGCCGCGCGTAAGCGTCACGTCAATAGAAGACTCACCCATTGGGTTGCAAAAAGTTGGTGGTGCATCGGGGGTATTGTGAATAATAAGATTCATTTCCGCAATGAAATCTTCAACCGCACAACGTCGAACCGTGTCGGTTGAACGCAACTTGCCATACCATAATGAAGATGACGCATTGACATCAGCGCCAATGATAATTTTATGTCCCACGAGGAACTGCAAGACGTAACGTAAGTGATGTAAGTGAGGATCAATAGGATGTGAATATTGAAAATTGCAGCTCACTACGTAAACCTTACAGGTAGAGGATGAGATCTCAGCAACGGCGCAGTGTGACGTCATAAGATTACGCAAAGATATTACCGTAAAATTAGAACTTGCAACATATATCCCAGCCTGCGAACAGCAGTCAAGCTGTACTACATTACGACGCAAGTGAGCGCTCTGATATTGTTATTATAAAAGGACAATGTCTAACTTTTGTTCTAAAATTAAACCGTCTAATTCTGATGTAGCTATTTTATCGTTATGAAGATTTAACTGGCCTATCGAAATATTATTCATTACTTAGTAAGTTACTCTTTTAACTTTTTTTTTTTTTTTTTTTTTTTAAACTAAGTTAAACTATTCAGTAATTGGTATTTAATATTAGCTGTTCCAGTTTTAATTTGTATGTGGCACAGTCGTATGAGCCACATCGATGGTCAGATGGTTTTTTGAACCGCTTACACTGTGCGCACGTGGGCTTAAAATCTGGTGTGTCTTTATCTGGACAAGCTCGCGTTTCGTGTGCGGCGGCGCAATTAACACAAGTAGGGGTTTTTATGGTGTAAAACTTTTGTACATGACCGAATTGCTGACAATTTAAGCAACGAACTACTTCTATATCGTCTATGAATCTACATGTGGCCCAGTCTATATAGAGTTTATCTTTTGTGTTGGCTAGATGTTTCCGAACTGCTGCCTCTAATTCTAAGCCTATCCATTGACGCTCATATTCTAGTTTACGATGCCTAACAATTTTGGTTGACTTAATAAAATCGTTCTCACTTAATTTTAATTCGTCCTTGATATTCTGACGGTATAAGGCTGTTAGGAAGGCACGATCTTCCATAGAACCGGGTACGTCTTTTACAATTATACGGGGCCTACGGCCTTTCGGTTTTTCTAAGCGCAACCCTACTGATTTAATGGCGTCCACAGATTCCAGTTTCTTAAGCTGCCGTTCGTTAGCTACACGTAACACGACGCCTGCCTTAGAGGTTTTTTTAACGCCTACAATTTGAAATCCCTCATCGCTCGGTTTAATAGCCTTCATGAGAGCTTGTTTTGTTGCTGACGAGGTCGCATAGTCCGCTAAGCGTTCCGTAGTGGGATAGGCAATAACACAAGGCCTAGGAACGCGCGCTTCAGTAGGTACCGGGCACGGAGCAGATTTAGGTGGTAATCGAAGCTTAAGTTTGTCCGCGTACGTTAAACTCGTTTCTTGAGTGGCGATACCCTCCATTTGTCGCTCAAAATTCTCTAACTTCGTTTCGTTGCTAGAGGATTTTATTGCTAACAAAGATACGATACCGGTAATTCGTTGAGTAATATCCATAATCGCCGTTTTATTACCTACATTCATCCGAGATCCCTGATCATTAACTAATTCATTAATTTTTGCCAAATAATCAGTGGCCTGTGATACTAAGTCACAGTAGTTGTACTCCCCACAGTTATCACGACCGGTAGGAGACGAAACATTACCACTTAAGTCCGAATTAATAACGCGCCTACGGCTACTGTTTTTCGGCGAGAAATCCGTAGGTGACATTTCGATAAATGTCCTTTTCCCGGTTGGTGTTAGAAATTCACTTGTACCGCCGGGGTCCGGCAACTCGCTAACGACCGACATAGCCAAACAAAGACACACCAAACAACAATTTCAAAAGGAACAGGTATAAAAATAAATAACACGCAGAGAAAAATCAATATAACAAAGGATACCTCCTACCCACTTTTAGAAAGAAAATAAATTTACTCACCAATAGTCGTAATAAAATAATTCAGCACTATAGTACTGTTTAAAAACAATAAAAACTTACTGACTTTCTTTAAAACACTATACACAACCTTTAGCCGCCCGCAAGCCGGAAACTAGTCGCAGAAAAACAGAAAACAATATTTAAATTGTTAGCACAAGAAGTCACACGTTAGTCGCACGGTGCCGCGAAGGTACCTCAACCTACCTACCGCCACCCATAGACACATGCAACTCAAAGAGTCACAAGTGTGATGGCGGTCTTTCAGTCCCAGAGAAGAAGGGGATAGTTTGGGCTCCGGTAACCTGACGCACTCGGTGACCCGCTACGAAAGAACTGCTTAACATCCTGATGTTAAGCAGTCCACCGCAGTCCAAATCACACTAGGCCCCCTGGGGCCTAGTGTGATTTTAACCAATCGTAAAGCCGAACACGCTCGCTGTGACAATCGAGTTGATGAGAAAAAAAACTCACATTAAGGCCCCTCTTTTCTGTGAAGTCGTGGTACCACTACCACGGCACATGTGTGCCGAAGAATGGCTCACCTGCCATAAATGTTAATGATGAAACATATAAGCTGCAACACTGTGTTATAAGGAAACACCAGTTATCGCTAGTAAAACAAACATACAGACAATAATATAATACTCTATAAGTACGGAATACTACGGATAATAACTACGCAACACAAACATGTAAACAATATTTTATCTGATCAATTTTGAAACAATAGCGAAACAAAATAATAATAATATATTAACGACTCACCATATTCACTCGTAAGCTTGCTGCTTTCCTCATTATCTCTCTCAGTTTGTCTCTGGTTCTCCGGATCAAACTTACGAAATTCGCTCATCAATGAAACATTGTTTTTGTCTTCGTGCATTTTTGTTTACACAATTATATTATCGGATCACGTTTATTCATTCGATCCTACAAGAAGCGCTCATGATAAGTTAATAATCACATTATGATAATATCAAAGAAGCCCTCGACTTTCGAGTTTAAAAATATTTTATAGTTTTGCGTCAGTACGCACATTGTTCACGTCCACTGATTGCACATTACTACACATAAATACAATAATACACTGAAGACTGAACGACGAACGACACAATCGAGACTGTTCGGAGAAGTTCGTCTTTTTTCCGTCACACTTGCACGTAATAAGCGTATTCGCGAAAGCGAGACAGAGTATATAGTAATGTTAATAGATGGGACAAAATAACAGTGAACTGTGAATGACCGGTGATTTGTCATTCGATTTTTTCGTACGTAGGTTAAGGTTACTACTTTACTCACGCGTTGTTGCCAATAAGCTGTTTTCAGACGATGCTTAAATACCATATTTGGCCTATTTAACAATAAATCTAGTAATTATTTTGTTATAGCTATTATTAGCTATTATTATGTAGGGAATAGTTATAGCTAACTATTCCCTACATAATATTTAAAAAATACTGGATTTACTCTTAAATAGCGGCTAACCTACCTACCTAGCAACCCTATTAAATATTGAGATCTTGTGGCTCAATCGTTATCACGTAATTAGCTACGATAAGGTAAAATGACTAGTTTTTAAGCTGTCAATATTTTTAACAGTGCGCTAATAATATCTGCCAACCGCTGAATGCCTAGCATAACTAGGAAACTACAGTAATTATTGAATTGCCGATTCTAAGATTACGATTCAATAAATGCAATTTATGGCAAATTTACTCTCAATTACCGAGGCAATATTCAGTTATTTGGCAATCGGATATAACAATAACAAAGTTTTTCCTTGCCGGTCTGTATTTAATTACTGCTTCATCAACCATCACCATCAACAGCCTTTAAAAGTCTAATGCTGGACATAGGCCTCTCCTTAGAAAGGAGGTTTAATTATTGTTCATCTCCATTTAAATTCAGAACGATGTAAGTATTGAAGGCATTGAAGATAGTTAATAAATTGCCTAATTCGTTTGTTAGAAATTAGAGTACTCAGACTGTGTCAACTGTAGTTACAGGGATGCAATAATTATTGCTTGCTCTCTCTAATTCATACGTATAAGTACCTACTTAATGCCCCTTTGCTGTCTTTCTCTTTTCGTTGTACATATCTGCGTTTCCTTTCATATTTGATCTCCCAATTTTCTCATCTAATTCCTACATCTGATTACACCATACCTGCCGCCTTTTACATGAGTAGAACTAAAAGTATAATCGGCAAAATGTAGGTCGTTCAAGTTTGACTTAACCAACGAAATGACTAAAAATTGTTATTTCGTTGCGCTGTATGCTGTGGAAGTGGGAGAGAGGGGTAAACCAGCTAAATCCCTCTGTAACCTGCTTAAAGACCTTGGATTGCCAAGAGCTTCGGTATGCTCTTTTCTTCAACGAATATCCAAAGCGGCATTGCTAGGCTCGTATCAAACATGATTAGATAGAGGACAGCAGACTGTAGAGGTGAGCGCTGACGCGCCGCAAGCTCCTTACACTTACTCCTGGGTCGCAATTCCCAGGCGCTGTCGAAGTCGCATGTGTTGCCCCCATCTATCACGCGATAGATCTGGCACGGTGAATCAATTGAACGCTAAAAAATACGTCTACACCTTTCTATGTATTCATATTTATCCCTTACGGAATATTAACTCTCTTATAATGTGAAGTGTGTCCGTGTAGTGACGGACTAAGAATACGGTATGTCACTACCCCAATTCATCCCGTGGGTGTCGTAAGAGCTGACTAAGGGCACAAAACATCGCAGGACACCAGCACTGCAAAAAGAAGGAAAACTTGACACAAACCCTATACCAACCCGTCAGGCCAGGTATAGTAGGCCAAAACCTCCTTTCTAAGGAGAGGCTTATGTCCAGCAGTGGACTAGTAAAGGCTGTTGATGTGATGTGATGTGATAATGTGGAGTATTACACACTAGTCGATTTAATGCCTTATTTCACTAAGAACACAATGGTTTACACGCATAGCAAATAATATATCGCTGTTATCTTATATATATATATATATATATATATATATAAGATAACAGCGCGATTTCCTCAAAATATAATATCACTCGTACATCTTCTCTGCAAATTTATGAAATATAGATTTTATATTTTTCAAAGATAGCTTGTTTCTTTTAAAAGAAGAAAGCGATTTAGTCAACAATTGCAGTGCACACCTCAGAGGAGTGTTTGTACGTCTAATAGGTTCATCAAAATACTTATTTCTGGACACGAATTTCATTACACGAACTGGCCAACACAGTGTTGTCCAGTTCGTGTCAGTATATAACAATGTACTCTGTGGTTCGTGTGTCTGGGTTAGTTTGATGAATCGAGACGTCACAGGCGTCACCGGATCGATACTCAGAGACCCAGTGTGACTTTAAAGGGGTGTTATCGAGCACTTCAGAGGGCTACACATTTTTTTTTGTCTCGTGCGGAAATTCCCTCGGATACCACCCATTGGTCCGATGATTATGTCCTACACTAAAATCTTTTAATTAATAATAAAGGTAATAACTTTACAACAATACAACAAACTAGGCTGAGCCTGTGCTATGGTAACCAACCTGCTGATAAACATACTTATAAAGGAATGTCTAAATGCATACATAAATATTATGGGTGAATGTTGTAAAAAATTGTTGATAGATTAATAATTTCAGAGATAAAGAAAGATAAGAAGAGAATTTAAGACTATGATTTGCATATGAATTTAAAAAATAATATTTAATATATTAATAACGTAGACAGACCGTGGGGTTGCGGATTAAGAATGCGGAGTGTCACCGCCCCTATTCATTCCTTGGGTGTAGTAAGAGCCGACTAAGGGAGTAAACTCTGTAGGATAACAACACTGCAAAGAGAAGGAAAACTTGAAACAAACCCTATACCAACCCGTCCGGCCAGCGTGGTGTAGTAGGCCAAAACCAAGTTTTTTAAGGAGAGGCCTATGTCCTGCAGTGGGCTATTAAAGGCTGTTGATGATGATGATGATGATGAAAAACGCAGAAAAAAATGTAAATTTTAAAAGGACATGAAATAGACAAGGACAAGGACAATAAAATAGAAAGTCAAAGAAGTTTATTATTTATTGCATACATGATTATCGAAATAATATGTACCTTGAATGACTTTAAATAACACTGATGAATTTATTTACAAATTTACTAATAGTAATGCTAATCACTATTATTATTATTTATTATATTTCATTTATTTATATTTACAAAAGATAACAAATTTAAGAATCAAACGTCAAATCTTAATGTCAAGTATACTTGTGGTATGTTACACGACTAGTCTATACTCTATGGTTTCACCATAGACATTAGGTTAATGACTTTATCTACGGTCTTTTGATCTCATTATAGTGACTAAACACCCTTTACTTTTGTCAGGAAATATAAAAAATAAGCCGTAATAACTTTCGTAGGATAAGGGAATAATAATATTGGGACTCCAAAACAGTCAACCCAAAGACAGCCCTCTTAAAATAGATATAACTTAATGCTTCTTTAATTGTAGGTGTCTAGTTACCATAGAGTTTCTTATATTCAAATTATCTTAATTTTAATTCCTGAGAATAGGGAATATGCACGTGACACCAAAATGGGCAAAATATTTTTATTTGTAATTTTTATTGCTAAAAAAAGATACCCATACAATTATTTTTGAAATTTATTATAAATTAATAGTGAAATTTAATCATCAAAAATTGGCTTTTTTAAGATTCCCTCGCAAATTTCTAAAACGCAACGCTATTGGTTGAATAAAACGTGACGTCAACCTACACTGTCAAGAGTGTCAACAAATTGTGTGTCAGTGTTAAATTATTCAATTCCCGTTTAGAAAGACTCAACACAATGACTGAATATACTTTGTCAGGTGCAGTTTTGATATTATTTGGGAACAAAGGAACGGCACAATATTTATAATAAGTTTTTATTGGCTTTTCCGTCGTAATAAGTTAATTTTTATCACTCACTTTTTTAACTTTCACAAACTTCGTGAACTTCACTCCGTTGTTGACATCGAATTCGTCTGAAAGTGTAATCGGACGTCACAAAAAAAGCGCGCCAAAATGGACGTGTTCAAATTGCCCCAAAATGATAGTGATTTTAATAAATTTTTATTTGCTTAACGGTTTATATTTCGGATGTGTTATATTTATTTTTGGTAATGTAATAACTAGTAGAATCGTTTAAAAAAATAAAAAAAATACATGCATATTCCCTATTTACATTGTAAGTACTAAATGCAATTTTCTTAAAAATCGAGGATCGTTTGTTTACCTAAATTTTTTCTTAAATATTATTTAAAGTAAAAGTTGAAAATATTTTAAATATGCGTAGTATTTCTGAAATAAAATAATATTATGTTGCTGTATTAAGTACAAAGACAATATACAAATTATATGTATGTATTAGATAGATAGATATTATTATTATAATAATATACGTATAATTTAATTGACTTCTTTCCGAAATCTTTTTGCTTCCACTGTAATTACTTCCATTATGAATTATAAAATGTAATAATTTTGATGAATAAGTTATATAATTAAAAAAAATTAGAATTTCTTTCGTATTTTTAGTAATTTTTAAACAGAGTCCTTGTCTTGAAAAATATAGTCTGTAAATTTTTATTATTATTTATAAGGGAGACAGTGAGCTCCATATTTCAAGATCACTTACTTTTTATATTATTAATGGTAGGTAATAAATATATTTAATAATTATAATCCTAAGTTGTCAAAACTGCCTAGATGTCTATGAATATTTTATTATATGTATAATGACGTCATTATTTACACAACTTGTGCTATTGATTACATCAGTATTTACATCACACGTGTTACAGAGTTGTTTTATATTTGAGCATATTCAAAAATATAGATCTAATAATATAATTTCACAAATTAAAATTATAAATAACACAAAATTCGATTTAAATAAACGAATTTAGAAATTCACAAAATACAAAGAAACTTTGTTTAAATAAAAAAGAGAGCTATATTTTTAAGGGAGTAATCCCTCCCTCCCACACGCCCACCACTCTAACTCCTGTACACCAAGATTAACAGCAGTGACCCACGAACACACCGAGTTATGACACTCGGGAAGTCCCAGAAAAAAAAAAAACTGTCTTGGAACCCGCAACGAAATTAATCAGAAGAAAATTGAAGGAGTTGGAAATATAATTAATCCACTCCTTAGCAAAGCGAGAGACAAAATTAAGCAAAATAGGCATACAGCCTTTTAAACAGGGAAGCAAAAAACATAAACAGCAAAATATTATGGGTCCTTAGTTACATTTACCTACAATAATTTATATTGAAACTGACTTATGTTTATATCCAATATAAAAATGACGAAAAAATAAAAATACATTCACATATGACCTCGCTTCTTATCTTGAAGATATTCTGTCATTTGATTTATTGCCAATGCTAGATAATAATCAACGAATTGTTAACAAATATATAATAAATAAACCGATAAATTTGGAAATTTAAATCAAAAACTTTTTAAATATAAATGATACTCGATTTGTAATACATTATGTACGTATTTCAATTACAGTATCATTAAACGTACCTAAGTACATAGGAAATTAATAATATACTCATTTGAAGATATTTTAATATAAACCTGGAATTAATCGTTTATTAAAAAATCCCCATATTAATTTTAAAATAAAAAATAAACCTTTGACTAAATTTACTATAATTATATAAGTTTGTTTATTAATATTAAAAACAAATGACATAAACTAGGCACGTGGATTTAGGGCTCCCAATACAGACAACTTAATTTGAATAGACTTTGAGAGATTAAATGAAAAATACTTGAAGTTAAATTTACAAGGATTTTAAATATTATTCACAACAACTTAATTTGAACAGAAGCCTCCAAAATATAACAAATTAAATTACTGTCAGACAAAGTCCGTATTTTACTATATTATGTCACATAACATATTCACACTTTTGTTGATTAAATAAAACACACTTAAAGTTAAATTTACAAGGATTTTAAACTTTATTACACCTACAGTTTTAGAAGTGGTTGTACCTACGTACTTATTATGGTAAATTGTAATAACACCTGTAATGTTTTCAATTATGTAACATAACCGAATTATACAAACAGAAGGTAAGATAACTAAATTATACGATTTTTGTATGACAAACAAACTATGTTTATATGCAGAAGTAATCCTGGTTTTATTGGTCATGACGGGCATTCTCACTAGCGAGTCTTGTGTGATGTATTCGCATAAGTGATAAAAGAATTCTCAGTTTACCTTTTGTGTTAATTAAATAATAACTATAACATGAGATACCACACACAAACCAACCAACCCAAGACTACCCTCTCACCCCAAGACTGACTGGCTGCCTTTAATCACAGAATACATTACTAAATACAAACATATTGTAGATAAATCACACTGAGACACAGAACAAAAGTGTCATGCTCATTACTGAGGGCCTAGGGTGAAAATTGTCTTTGGTAAAGATTTCAGTGTGGCGCGGGCCAATCGTGACGCCATACGCAGCCACAGTGACGAGAGTGTTGATGTGAAATAAACTCACACAACGCCCTCTGAATTGCTTGTCCTGGTAAGAAATTAAACGCTCGACTGCTGGCTCAGCAGTCTTACCCACTACACTCAGTCATTCATGAAGTCATTTTAAATTAGATAAATAAAATAAAAAAATATTTCGGACAACTGATACACAACACCATCTAGGATCAAACTAAGCATCTAAAAGCTACACTAATAAACTTTTTAAAAAAATAAAATATGCTTTTTAAACTTTAAAGTTCTCTTTCTGTTTATATTTATAATTTTGTTTTAAATATTTTTTAGGAATGCAATAAATAAAATATGTAAAGTATTTATGAATACACAGTAAGAATTGTTTTAACTGTACAATATCTAAGTGCTTACAATAAGTACGTACTAATTAATTCTAAATAAGTAACTAAGTTACGTAATGTTTTGTTACTTTAACTAGTGTTACAATCAAACTATGTTACAATTTCAATGATTCAAATTTTAAATGAAGTATTTTCTATTATAGCACTGTATGAGGATCCTATTTTAAATTGAACACTGATATAAAATTATTAGAGTTAATAATTTGATTATAGAATATCATGGAAACTTACCTTCAAATAGTTAACTTAAAAAAAACTAACTTCAATGCGCAAACATGCAGAATTGTAGTAAAGTGTAAGAATTCTTCATTCCTTGATTTCACATCTTTTGCGATGTCATTTTAAATATAAATTTGACCGAATGGGAACTATAGTCTTGGAAATTAAAAAAGTTCAAATCGGTTCATAAAGTATGGAGTTAAGAGAAAATAAACATAAAAAGAAACCGAATTAATAACCGTCTTTTTTAACTCGGTTGCATGGAGATCAGAGAGAAGGAGAACGATCGCTACGTGCTAAAGCATTAGCTCGCTTGTCCCGGAAAACTTGTAGAATTTATAATTCATTTATCAGTCACCAGCCGCGGTGCCGTCGGTAAGTAGTATCTGTGAAGTTAGCTGTTTATGAGTACAAGTAGATGAAGTTAGTTGAATAATGTACAAATTTTCTTCGCGGCATTGGTGAGAAAATAATCGAGCTCCGTAATTTTTTAATTTTTGACAAAAAGAAACATTAAAAAATGTTAAAATCTTTGAATAATATTATACACACGTATATTAAACATTGATACATCATTTCAAATCAGCGCACAACAGCCCGCTTTTATTGAGACAACTTAGCGATCGCAGCGTCTCACTTATTTTGTCCATATTTCTGGGACACTATTTTCTACAGCGATCGTTCTCCTTCTCTCTAACCTGTAACCTCGGTTGTTTGTCTGACGTAGAAAGGAATTTTGTTCTTAGGTATAGTAATAAACTAAGCACTGACGTATAATGTTTTAGTCGGTGTAGATAACGGTATTAGCTCGTTTCGTTATTAGTCCCGTAAATATTTATTTATACCCCTTAATGGAATTTTACCCCTTGGAAACCCCTTGGATTGTGGACAGTGCAGTGCAGTGTGCACAGGCACATCATCGATTTTGTATAAGTATAATTTTATTTTAAAAAAAGTCGTAACTATTTGACAAAACAGAGATTGTTGCTATTGTGTGTGTTGATTTACGACTTTAGTCTACATAAAAGACAAATTCAAAGATTTTTTTTTTATGAATTTGAATTTGAATTATACTTGAATTTGAATTTACATATAAAAAAACAACTTGAAAATTCTATTATAAAAAAAACCGGCATTTATAAACCTTCCTAATTATTTAATGCTAGCTCTTGTACCATGTAATATTCATTAATAGAACTTGGGAACAATCTTTCTTCTGGACGAGAAACCTGTGTACTCTGTTATATTTCTGTGTGTGTGAAATTTCATTATGATCAGATGAACACTGAACAGTAGAGCGGCAATACTAACAAATAAATATTAATTTCCGTTTTTTAAAAACATTTCAGGCATATTCATATATAGGTAATAAGAGTTGTTTTACACGCATAATTAAAAAAAAAATACGGACATATTGGAGTATGTATAGTATTGAAGTCTATCAGCAATCTGTCGGGAGCCTAAATCCTCATACAGTGCCTGAACAATAATGCTCAACGCTAACGTCATCGTAGACCGAAGTGGAGCAGAACTGAGGCAAGCAGCAGCAGGCATGTGACGCTCGACGTGATGCCGTGAATAGCGCTCGTATTACGTCGGAGGATAGCGGCCATCTTGTTGCCTGAAATAAACGCAAAGGAGAGTTTATTGAAGAGAAAATACATTGGAATTGGTCTCACTGTTTAGGAAAAAGAGCACGACAACGAAATCGTTTTTTATTACAACTATCGGTGTGCGTGTACACACAGATAGTTGTAATAAGAAACGGTTTTTAAAAATGATCGAATAATAATATCTATTATCGACATTATTCGATAAACTGATTTTGCATAATTCCGGCGGCGCCGGCGTCTTATTTGAATATTGGATAAATATTACAAAATGTATCTTTTGTTTTCCGTACCTAACAGACCTATCTCGTATGCATCTAAATCGGAAGTTGACACAATTCCATTCCATATGGAGAAATGGCGACGCTGTTGTACAGTAAAATCCCTACAGAAGTACATGTCTCCCTTCACAGCTTTTGCGCGCCCGGGGTATCAAGAGTCATATGCCCGCTATTTGCTTTTATCCTAACACATACCTCACAAGTTACCTTTACAGTTATCAAGCATTTATAAAATTCGTTTAGTGTAAGTAGAAGTGTAAATCGATTTAGAAATTAATATCCATAGTCAAAGGGGGTGGTGTTCTAAGTGTTGCGTCATAGGATTAAATGGTTCGATTGTATGAAACGTGGAGGACAGCGCCATCTAGTATCGACCAAGTAACATAAAGAAGGTTCTCTTCTTATAATGAATGTTTATCAAAGTGAAAAAATACTCACTGCCTTCAGAAACAAAAACATGTATGCTCGCAGGCTCGGTGTTACTGGCACTGCAAGTGTAATTCCCAGAGTCTTTGAGTGTGGCGCCGCGGACAGTGAGCCGGGACTGCGTGCGAGCACCAGGTTCTGTCTCCACCGTAATACCACCGCGGGTTGCGTCGTAGTTGATCATGCGATCGTTGTGGTACCAGAACACGTACTGAGGCGGAGTTGGACTCTGGAAGGTAGAAATATCATTTTTATTATCATTAAGTAATTTAAAAAGTTTCGTATTTTACATTACTTGGAGAAGGAGTTTTTTTTATGGTATAAGGGGCAAACGAGCAGACGGGATCAGTTGATCATATAAAATGGAAAACTATAAAAATGTCAGGTAATCTTTAATTAAATTGAGTAAGTGACTACATAAGCCACTTTGAATATTTGGAAAATTGTTTTTTTAATCATCAACAGCCTTTACTAGTTCACTGCTGGACATTGGCCTCTCCTTAGAAAGGAGGTTTTGGCCACCACGCTGGCCAGACGGGTTGGTATAGGGTTTGTGTCAAATTTTCCTTCTCTCTGCAGTGCTGTAGTTGCTCCCTTAGTCGCCTCTTACGACACCCACGGGATGAATAGGGGTGGTGACACTCTGTATTCTTAATTTGTCATTATTCCCCTATTCATCCCGTGGGTGTCGTAAGAGCCGACTAAGGGAAAAAACCAAGCAGGACAACAGCACTGCAGAGAGAAGGAAAACTTGACACAAACCCTTTACCAACCCGTCTGGCCAGCGTGGTATAGTAGGCCAAAACCTCCTTTCTCAGGAGAGGCTTATGTCCAGCAGTGGACTATTAAAGGCTGTTGATGATGATGATGATGTTTTATTGTTTTCGAGATGGTCATGGTGTTAGGAATACGGAAGGTAGTCAGATCTATCATTGCAGGGGACCAGTTGACTGTCAGTCGTTCGGACAAGTTCTACTGCATTAGATTACCAATTTTTATTTGTTGTTATTTTTATTTATTTCTTTATTCTCAAATTCCCCAAACATGTGCTCTCAGAGAGATTGATGATATTCCTTACACACGTGAACACCAACGATACAGATAATAACAAAATATTACTTCGCAACCTAAATACAAAACACATCTTTCAAAGAGAACACACAGTACATTGTATCGAAGAGAGTTAATCAATAACTGGAAAAAATAATCCACGAGACATTCTTGTCGACCCAGTTAATAAAGGAAGCGTCTTTACGATTATTACAAGATCTCGTAAAATACATCTCCCGTTGTAAAAAAATATATTCTTGCCTCGATATAAAATAATGTAGATTGAATATTTTCGGTTCTGGACTGAGCTATATACTGTTAAAAAGCTTTAAAATTAAACCCTACTTAACTGTAATCTTTTGTAAAAAGATTTTGCAAGTAATCTTTTTGCCTTTTGTCTTTTGTATATTTCTTCGATATTTTGTGAAGGACTATATTTTAGGTTGTACTAAATCTAAAACGATGAAATTCCTTTTAAATTAACGCTGAAAGATTTTAACTCCTTTTTTTAGTACAGATAGCTTTTGTGATAGGTAAAACTATACATCCATCTTTGTAGGTATATGGAGGAGCCGGTATCGTGTTTTTCATAAGTTATCGAGGGGAAGTTGTTTAATGATTATATACTAACTAACGCCAGTACTTTAATTGCGTAATGTAGGATCAGAATTTTCTAGATACGTAGTTCTACTTATTTATGTTTGTTTTGCTGTATAAACTTCATTATCCTTAATTAGTTTTATATCATCTCTATATCAATATAATGAAGCACTCTTTTCTTAATGTAGGAGTATTTAGTATAAAATATACAGCTTCAGGCGTGGATTAGTAGCAAAAATACTTCACATTTCCTAATTACCTCCGATACCGAACATTAAGGCTGCTCGTTAAGAAAAACGTCTGGCAAAAAACCTTAAAGTAAAAATATTATTTTTTCCTTCAACAATTCATTAGCGGCGCTTTAATATTTTTTATTTCGCTTAAAAGTATTTAGTCTGTCTTGTATTTTGTTAGTTTTTTATTGCCACATTAAAGCAGCAGTCGATGGAGGCTGATACTCTTGTGGTCATTTCTCAAAAGAAAAAGAGAAAACCAGACAACCTCACATGACTATCAGAGAGGCATACTAAAATATCTCAACTACATTTTATTGTGTTTGATTTGCTTTCAAGAACTACTCAACATCACTTATATACTGAAAAATACCAGTAGCATTGTTCCGTTCTATACTAAACACTTGTACGTTAGCGAATCAACAATAGAAAACAATTATTATGGATATCGATAAACTTAAACGAAGTTTTAAAAGTAGTTACTATATTTTTGTTTCGATTTTTGAATTGCTATTTCATGATGATAAAATTATTTTTTGAAACAGTAATTTTAGTATAAAGTGAACCAAATTGAAACAAATACTTTCCGATTCAATAGATAAAAGCGGAGCGGTTAGACACTGGCTTAAATAAAGCTTACGGTGTTTTTGTTTCATTTAACAGCTTGTAACTGCAATAATTGTGTTTACTTGTAGCAGCTTAAGACACAATATTCTGTACACCGCTTATAGCTTAACCTATTAGTTTCCCATTTTGTCGATAGTTGAGTCACGTCCTGATATGTTGTACATTGAAATAAGTCTTATTACATCTACACATAGGTTTTAAATTACCTTTTCTACAATGCAGATGAGATGTATGACGCTGCCAAGATCTACATGATGTTCGCCAGAGCCGAGGATGAAGGCTTCTGGTACCACGATCTGGAGCCTAACGTAGTGGGACACCATACCCGTACGAGTTGATACCTGAAAGTAACAAAAACCTGACATTAGATATATACGGAGTGTCACCACCCCTATTCATCCCGTGGATGTCGTAAGAGCTGACTAAGGGGGCAATCTACGTAGGACAACGCACTGTAAAGAGAAGGAAAACTTGAAACAAACCCTGAACCAACCCGTCTGGCCAGCGTGGTATAGTAGATTAAAACTTCCTTTCGAAGGAGAGGCCGATGTCCAGCAGTAGATTACTAAAGACTGTTGATTTGATGTAAAATATGTATTGCAGTAAGCTGATAAATTTCCCTCATTAGGCTTTTTGGAAAAATCATAAAAAAATATTTGATTACATTTTAAACAATTAATTTTTAAATGAAACGAACTGTTCCAACACATGAAGAGGATCACTAATCCAGCTAGTTATTGGGTAGTATATTGGGCGATGTTCACCAACTGGCCCGAAATCTTTCTTTGCGCGAAATAGAATCGCAGTACAATATTTGGGCGTGTCTCCGTTACATGACATTGAAGTTTGTTTCACGTTGTATTTGTTGTAATACCCGATATCACTCCCGAAACAGATCCCTAATTATTGTCGCATAGCTCCTGGGTTCGAAAAACCGTCTCCGGCACACGTAAAGGTATTAATTAGTATGTGCATTATTAGATGTGAGAATGTATTGACCTTTTGAAGTTAGAGTCCCTTAACATTTCTCTTCGGCTGTCATCGGAATAGCTCGACAGCGGCGGTCGTCGATTGATCGGCATTTGTTAAGTCGTAAATATATTGACGTATGAATTCGGCTTGTGTAAGGTCTGCATGGATGTAATCAGAAATTTGAAAAATAATAATACTTATTCCGGTTGTTCGGTCTATTGTTTTTTCAAAATACGTGATCAGGAGAACGAAGAAATTGAACTACGTAATTAGATGAACAAATTACAATCATTTCAATTGATGATTATTTATTAATTAAAATTTAAAACTTTAAGATTAAACTTACTTTTTCTTTTTCCATGACCCGAGTAGCAAGCTTTTAATTAAGTGTCAAATAAAAATACAAAAAATAATAATTCAGAGGTGCTTGAATTGGTTTGTTCAGCCAAAGCGAATCTTGGTAACCCTATTCATCGCAAATAGACAATACTCTGTAACTTTAGGTAGCCTCAACAAACCAGTGTATAAAATGCAAAAAAAAAGAATAATAGTAAAACGTTAATGCCAAGGTTAAGGCCTGATCTAGTACTAGCTTGATATAGTAAGTTTACTAAGTACTATTTAAAATACTCTAGCGCTCTACTTATAATACACATATACTCGTAATAAAAACTTAAAACGACCTACTTTTATAAATTGCGTGGGAACTCAAACAGGTGATACACTTTCATTCAAAGAAGTTTGGATTTTAATGTAAAACATTTATATTAAATGGAAAATTTAGTGGATGTCTCTATTAACAGCGACCCTCTGTTATACTATGTTGTTATTTTGTAAATGAATGTTTTTATTAAATAATTAAACGTTACTAACCAATAATACTATTTTCAGCTAACGTTTTTTTTGTTGAGGCCACATTTACAGAAAATTTAAAGTTATCAGTCAGAAATTATTCGTAGGAAGATAAGTATGGAGATATTATCCAGGTCAAGTTTTTGTCCAGATAACGAATCTGAAACTAATTCATAAATTTTCTCAACACCTTTGTAATTTAATTACTATGAATTGAAATGAGTAAATTTATTCTCTTAGAAGCTCCTAAACCCTATAGTTTATGGTAAATAAATTTATCTAATACGCGATAGACCCGGTACTCGCACGTTTAACCCATGGAATGCTAAGAAATAGGTATAATATAATAATAATGTTTCGGACATCGGACACACAACGCCATTTAGTTTCAAACAAGAGCTTGTACTATGAAAGCTAGATTAACTGATAGAATAAATATATACTTTTTCTTTGTAAATACATACATATTTTACATAGAAACCACCCAAACTACGAAACAAATATTTGCAGATCATACAAATATTTGGTCTGATCCGGGTATCGAACCCGAGACCTCAGCATAGTAGTCGCATAAGCTACCAGTGCGCCACCGAGGCTGTCAAGTTGTAGTGGGTAAAGGAGCATGTGGGTTATGGTAATTACTATCACAGCTTATGGACCCCTGAAATGAAACAGTCACAAGAGTGTTGCAGCCCTTTGATTCGAGAGATTGTCCGGAGTCTGAGGAGTAACCTCACTTCCTAGGTGGAAAGGAAAGAAAGAATTGCATAACACTAATTTCCTTTGAGGTCGTAGGATCTCCAGTCAAATGGGCATGGCTCTTCCATGACGAGATTATTTTGTGTCAGATTTTTTTGAAGAGTTTACCGATTTTCAGAATAAAGAATACAATAGCAGTTAATGTGATGCAATTGTTTTTAAATAAAATGACAGCATAATTAAATAATATTACAATGCCAAGTGTCATTAGCATAATTTGGCCAGCCTGAGGGATAATGTCATAAAATGATTCATCTGCAAACACATTCTAAATCAGTACAAAGAATAATCATTTCGTAATTTGCTTAATCCAATTCTGAACCGTAAAACGATTTCAAGAAAAAGCAAAAGGAAACTGCCACCGTTTGAGTTTCTACCCAATATACGGGATTAGGCCGCGCCGGCTTGTTATTCCGTTGAGACAATAAAAATAACAAGATCAGATACGCGATTCTGTAAAGGGATTAAGATTTCACCTCGAGGTTGCCTATCAAAACTTGTATATTATTTCACTTTCTAAATTGTATTGATGCACGTAGTCCTTTAGTTCTAAGAGCCTCAATACTTCCTGTTTTGTCTTGTTCCATGTACAAAAGAGTACCTACACTAAGACTTGTACGTACTAAAGTTAAACCAATTCTTTTATTTCTTAATGTTTTAAGCATGGACTTTCGCTTTGTAGTATAGTGAAATGAGTTAGTAGGGTACATCAAATAGTTCTATTAAAGTATTTGTGCCAAAGGAACAATTTCTTGAAGACCTTGTCAGTTTTGAAAATTTCTACTTTTCTATTATTCAGCCGTCTTTATAGTACACCTTACCCGTAATATATCGCTAGCTAAGTCACATTATGATGAGATGTCTCATAGTCTCTGTAGTTGCCAACAACTGGTGGGAACATTTTCAAGATAGGGTGCTGAATTTCGTCCTGAAGACGGCTACCTGTGGCAGCGACTCGTGGATGTCAAATACCTATGTATTTATATATATACAGCATTTCAACTCCATTCACCTCAATATTGAGTTTCACACGTGTGATGGAGGCGGACAGATCTTTGCGTTCTTGGATGTCAAAGTAATCGTGAGATCTGTTGGGTCGTTGTTACACTGTGTGTGTACAATCGCAAGCCTACACTCAATATGTATAAATATACTTATTACGTGATCGCGTTAATTTTGAAGATAAATATACGCCGAGTTTTATTTTCGAGTACAGAGTTGATGTACCTATTGTCTTTTATCGAACAACTGGAATACAGATAAAGCGAATGAAAGTATTCACAATTAAATTTCGAGGTCAGACATCGTCAAAATTCAGCAATCTAAAAATATAATCCTTTGAGATACAAGAGCTGAGCTACCCTACCGAGCGGTAAAAATATGTTCATTGTAAAAAATTCGTGGATGGTAATACAACGGGTATTTAGGCAGACCTCCGCTCATTCAAGCACAGTATACAGTAGGCATATTTAGGTTAGGGTCTATTTACATTTGGTTTAATGTGAGTGATGACAAGGTCATTTTCAAACGCGTGTGAGGTCTTCTATTTATTTTTGCCAGCTTATAATTTTATAGTTCTATGTATTTTAAATTTAAAATACTTTTTTTTTTAACCTATTTTAAACAAGGAGGCCGAATGAAGACTCTCCGTCTTCATTCGGCTCCACAACTACTCGTATCAACTATTTATTAACTAAATTGCAACCCTAAGGATAAAAAATTAAGGTATGAAGAATACAGGTTATTCCAATTCATCGCGATGTAGTTGCATTAATGGGTATACTTTTTTTTATAAAATACCATATTATAATTAACACAAAGTTGTTGTTTATAGCAATAGTCTTTATTTAAATTTAGTCTTGACTAGTAAAGCCTATAATTATAGGGTGGTATTTTTAACAGCGACCATGACCTAATAACTTTTGAGTTAACATTCTCCGATTTTGTTGCTGACTACAACAGCTATTGTTTTGTACAATGACTGAAATGGGCTGATATGATTTCAATTCATACTTTGCTAAAAGATTTTTGCTTTCAGGTCTTCTATAAAAAATATTATTTTTAATTTGATTTTTCTTTGTCTTAGAACAGTTTCAAACCTAAAATAGTGACAACTATTTTAGATTATGTTATATATTATGCTAACTCTTACAAATGTAAACACACCTTAAGCGTATTTGTGTTAAATTCGAGGTATTTTGCTACTAAGGGTTATAAATAAATCGAAATGCCGGAAAATATATTCTTGTGGAGGTCGAGTCATCATAAAAAATGTTTTTCTTGTTAAATATTTATATTAGGTACCGCCTTTCGGTTTTGTATGACTGGTATTGAAAGAAATAGCTTGGGAATACTAATACAGATATCGAAAGGTACATTATAGGAAATGGCTGTTTTGTAGCATTAGGACTTTCTTGTTGCATTACTTATAATCAATTTTTTTAACAGAAGCTTAAAATTACATGCTTTTTTGGTTTTAAAAGCATGGTGTGCTTGACAAATTTTTGTTATAATAACTATACTTTTATAAATAAGTAAGTTTACTATAAGGGCATATATTTTTAGTTTGTTTAACTATAACTTACTAGCTTTTTCCCACGGCTCCGTCCGCGTTTATGTCGGTTATCGCGGTAAAAAGTAGCATATATCCTTTATTAAATATTTAATTTATTTATTTATTTTTATTTATCAACTTTATGCACACAAGTACAATGGCGGACTTAATGCCATAGGCATTCTCTACCAGTCTACCTTAGGGTGGTGTGGAAATGAGTGTGGAGGTGCACTACCCTTTGGTTGAGAGTTATAAAGTGGACATAAAAGAAGTAATGATAGCAATACTGAGCAAAAAGCAATGAAATAATATATAAATACCAACGTATACATACAAGAATACATACATTCATATACATATATATTGTGTTATATATATACACATACATATATACCATAATACATAAAGTATCATATTTGTGATGATTCCGCTACATTCCGGTCAAGAAGAGCCCGCACCTTCGCCCTAAACGAATTACGACTGGTCGCCATTCTGATATCCTGGGGAAGAGCATTCCATAGAAGTACAGATTGAGTGAGGAAGGAAGAATGAACACACGCAGAAGTGTGGGCAGGGCATAAGAGTAGAAGATTATTTGTAGAGCGAAGGGTTCTGTTATGATTGGAGCACAAGAACTGGAAGGAGGATGTCAAGTATGTAGGCGAGTTAGGAGAGTTGAGAATAGTGTAGAGAGTCGTTAGTGCCCGCAGGTGACGACGCTGACGAATTGGGAGCCAATTTAATTTAAGACGAAAGGAGGAAATATGATCATATTTACGAAGATTAAAAATGAATCTAATGCAGTTATTAAGAAGACGGTCGTATTTGTTGAGGAGATCTGCATTCAGGTCGTAGTAGCACACATCACCATAATAATAATAATAATAATAATAATAATAATAATAATTTATTCCATAAACAGTGTTTTGTACAGTACATGGTTTTACAAATATTACAGTGGGTACATAATACATTTACATTGGGGCATCTGTGCCTGGACTAGATAAGAAATCTGTATCCCAGACATCAGCGCTTTTCCCTGATTACATCACCTAACTATACCTAAACCATTTATTTTAACAAAAATTTTACACTAGTTTTAAAAAATAATAAATAAACACTAATATCAGATTACTATACAAATATCACTGCAAATCGAAGCTCAAGAAATAGGAATATTTGTATTATTTGTCCTC